CGGATTTGGATCAAGATCTACAAAGAAAAACTTCTAAAAACCAACTTTAAAAGACTTTTGTGCATGACTGTATAGTAGAGAATGGAATAAAGGGTGCGGGAGAATGACGTAAGCACTTGAATAAATGTCAATCAAAATAGAAATTTCATCTAAAAGCACTAAGTGTTATATATATTGTAATAGTACTTATACAGTACTATTACAATCTTTACGGTAGGAAAATTTGAAGCCAAATCAAATTCAACCCTCGTTTTCTTCACCTAATTTCTCTGTAATTTTGTTGAATTTCTATTGAAATCAACATTTTTAGACAAAAAAAGTTTCAAAGTAATCAGCTAAAAAAGTAGCCGAAAACGACGGTGGAATTACGTTGCGCTTGGAATTTTCCTATTTCTATCACACACAAATTGTGGATCCTATTTGAAATGATCAATGAAACAAATGAAAATATTTGAACAATTCTTGTTTGAACATTCTTAACCAAGCAACAGGCATCAAACACAAAGTCTTTTTGATTGAAGAAATTGAAGAAATTGAAAAGAAAGGCAATGATCTCATGACGTAAATAGTCTACGATCTTTTTATTTTAATAAATTTACCTTTTTTTTGAAACTTTATCAACAACTTTTATATAAAAAAAAACATAACAAAATAGAATCTAGAGGAATTTAATAGGAAATCTTCTGTTTCTCTATTCATTTGTTTAGTTTCACAATGCTGAATACAATTTTGATAAGAATATCGATGAATCAGTGAAATAACCAGTTCCCATACCAGAATTCTTCTGCAGATGTGATTTTGGAGAGCACAACGTTGATGCAAGTAGAAAAACGAATAAACACAACTAACGAACATTTAGCTATACTTTAAGAATCAAATTGAAAAGAATTATGCTTTAGGTTATCTGAAAATCGTGAAAATGGATTTGAAGAGTTTCAAAATCGTTAAATATTCGATGATATTGACTCTTCTGTCCTGGATGGAGTTCAATCTTTCGCTCGTTTGGCTTAGCTTTAGCTCGTTTTGTTGAATCTTGTAGGTAAAAGCTAGAAATTCCATTTCTAACAAACAAATAAAAAAAAAAACAGAGTAACAAACACAATTTCAATCATTTTCATCTTCGTCATCTTGACGTTCAATAGTTTCTGATGTTTTAATTTTTTTTCGATTCGATTACACATTTATGGGCACATTTATTTAGGGATTCGATTACACATAACTATGGGCACCTTCTAACACGTTCAACACGTTCTAACAAGAATGGAGAAGAGTCGGTGAAATAACCAGTCCCCATACCAGAATTCTTCTGCAGATGTGATTTTGGAGAGCACAACGTTGATGCGGATAGGACTCGAATAAACAACTAACTAACTAACATTTAGCTATACTTTAAAAATCAAATTGAAAAGAATTATGCTTTCGTTTATCTAATAATCGAGAAAGTGGATGAGAAGTTTCAATATCGTTAAATATTCGATGATATTGACTCTTCTGTCCTGGATGGAGTTCAATCTTTCGCTCTTTTTGCTGAATCTTGTAGGTAAAAGCTGGAAATTTCATTTCTTTTTATCATTCAGCATTGATGAATACAAAAGTAGCCCAAAAGGTTGCTGGCACGAAGATTCGAAAATCTTTCGCATACACTTTCGACATTTTAGATCGATAAAGCTTTGTTTAAAATTTTCAACAAAACTGAGAGAGTGTGGACTTTGAATTGAGCCTCTTCTCTTCTTCTTAAGTTTGTTTTTAACTTTCGACATTTTAGATCATTTTAGATTATATATAAAAACATAACAAAAATAGAATCTAGAGAAATTTAATAGGAAATCTTCTGTTTCTCGATGCACTCCACAGCCTCATCGATCATTCCAATCATCGATCGATCATTCCAATCATTTCACGAAAACACTTCAGTCGAAGTGCTTTGTTGCCGATTGAATTCAATTTTTGAATGATTGTTTTGCAATATTAAACATTAAATCCATTGTGTATAGTTATACACCAAAAGTTATACTTCAAAAGCTATTCTAATCATTTCTTTAACGTTTTTCCATTTACCCTCATCATTTCCAGCAATTTTCGAAGCTCAAATCATTTGAATCAATCAAAAATCACTGAATATAAGCGTTCATAATTGTAGAGAAACTGAAAGAATCGATTGTTGAATGAAATCGATTGAAATGAATGTTAGAATTGAGATTACTTCTTGGAAATCTTTCCATGAGATACATTCATTTTATTTAAATTTTTAAAATAGTATTCGATATAATTGTTCTTTCTAAATGATTCTTTTAAAGTTAGAAATTGATTTCTCACGTAATTTTGTAAGGAAATGAAGAAAGGGATTTCATCAGGAATCGAATAATCTCCTTCAAGGGGATTTCCGAGATGGACTAATTGAAAGAAATTCTATTTTAGTCAAACATTTATCAAACAATAGGTATAAAACATTCAATTCTTAAAAGTTATCGTAATCTTGCTTCTAGAGAAATTCTATTCTAGATTAATTAGATAAAATCATACTGTACTCAAGTAACCTAATCAGAAAACTAAGCCAAGAATAATATCTTCAAGGGGATTTCTGAGATGGAGTACTGTAGGGGATTTCCTAGATGGAATACTGTAGGGGATTTCCGAGATGGAGTACTGTAGGGGATTTCCTAGATGGAATACTGTAGGGGATTTCCTAGATGGAATACTGTAGGGGATTTCCTAGATGGAATACTGTAGGGGATTTCCTAGATGGAATACTGTAGGGGATTTCCGAGATGGAGTACTGTAGGGGATTTCCTAGATGGAGTACTGCAGGGGATTTCCTAGATGGAATACTGTAGGGGATTTCCTAGATGGAGTACTGTAGGGGATTTCCTAGATGGAATACTTTAGTCAAGAAAACGAGCGCTTAATGAAATTATTGAAATACACCTGCCAATCGATGATCTTTTGAATCGATTCTTCTCCATTTAAATTCACTTCCCAGAAAATAAGATTCTGTGAATAGTCTGTGTGAACAATCATTGGAACATTTACTAAACAGCTCATTGCTTTTAAAGTCTAATTCGCGCCACTTAGTCCGACAAATTTCTGCTTAAAAAAACCTCAAGAATCTTCAAGAATCTTTACGATTTTGCGAATTTGATTGATTTGAGTTGATTTCAATGGAAAACTTTCTTCTCGAGCCTTCAAATTTGCTAAAACTTTTTGAAATTTATGATTTAATAGATATAAAATAGTTTTATTTGATTAAAAACAAACTTAAGAAGAAGAGAAGAGGAGAGAAGAGGCTCAATTCAAAGTCCACACTCTCTCAGTTTTGTTGAAAATTTTAAACAAAGCTTTATCGATCTAAAATGTCGAAAGTGTATGCGAAAGATTTTCGAATCTTCGTGCCAGCAACCTTTTGGGCTACTTTTGTATTCATCAATGCTGAATGATAAAAAGAAATGAAATTTCCAGCTTTTACCTACAAGATTCAGCAAAAAGAGCGAAAGATTGAACTCCATCCAGGACAGAAGAGTCAATATCATCGAATATTTAACGATATTGAAACTTCTCATCCACTTTCTCGATTATTAGATAAACGAAAGCATAATTCTTTTCAATTTGATTTTTAAAGTATAGCTAAATGTTAGTTAGTTAGTTGTTTATTCGAGTCCTATCCGCATCAACGTTGTGCTCTCCAAAATCACATCTGCAGAAGAATTCTGGTATGGGGACTGGTTATTTCACCGACTCTTCTCCATTCTTGTTAGAACGTGTTGAACGTGTTAGAAGGTGCCCATAGTTATGTGTAATCGAATCCCTAAATAAATGTGCCCATAAATGTGTAATCGAATCGAAAAAAAATTAAAACATCAGAAACTATTGAACGTCAAGATGACGAAGATGAAAATGATTGAAATTGTGTTTGTTGCTCTGTTTTTTTTTTTATTTGTTTGTTAGAAATGGAATTTCTAGCTTTTACCTACAAGATTCAACAAAACGAGCTAAAGCTAAGCCAAACGAGCGAAAGATTGAACTCCATCCAGGACAGAAGAGTCAATATCATCGAATATTTAACGATTTTGGAACTTCTCATCCACTTTCTCGATTATTAGATAAACTAAAGGGTAATTCTTTTCAATTTGTTTCTTAAAGTATAGCTAAATGTTTGTTAGTTAGTTGTTTATTCGATTCCTATTCGCAACAACGTTGTGCTCTCCAAAATAGCATCCGCAAAAGAATTCTGGTATGGGAACCGGTTATTTCACTGATTCATCGATATTCTTATATTCAATTTTAAAAATTATTTTTGAAAGTCTCGGGTAGCTTTGAACAAGAATTTGACTTTAAACGAAGCAACGAGTGAACAAAACTAACATTTTTCTTTCAAAATCTTTTAAAATCTTTCAAAATGACTCTCAATCCTTCTACAAAACAGTCTAATAAATCAAAAAAATGACGTTTTTAGGTTTCTTTTCAACAAAAATCTCATAATAATTTTGCATTACCGATCGAATTTTTTTATTGAGTTTGATTCGGTAAAATGACGGCTTTGCATGGAGAAGATCATCAAAATTCGGTTTTCTCAGCCGATTCCCTTTGGTTTCATTTTTAGGGTAATTAGAAAGAAAAAAAAACAAATTTCTTAAAGGCTCCTCCCCTGCAGATCGCCGCCGGGTCTTGACATTAGGAGTTGAGAAACTTTTGAGTGAATGTCATTGATCATTTGTGAAGAAGGATTTAGCACAAATCCAAAAACGTAGATTTTTTATTTATTTATATGTTTTTTTTATGTTCCCTGCATAAAGTTAGCTATTAGCAACTAGTCTCAAGACTAGTTGCCCTAGCTGTGCCTAATCATTTAAATGTTAAGATTAGTCAAGAGGAATACATGGAACACATCATGATACAAGAATGTTTATTGAAGGGACACTATGGTTTGATTCAAGAGTGACTTTGAATCGAAAACTACCATAACGTTGTAGCCCAATGAAGAGGAAAAACAAGAATGAACTTTAATTGCTTGTGTTAGACGATTGGCGTTGATTGTGAGTGGCACGTTCCTTGAATTGAAGAAATGAAAAAACCCTTTGACTGGCACAAACCTCTCCTTGTTGATTGTAAAGGATTGTTTGAACATTTGAGCCAACACCGAATGTATCATCTCCATCAAACACCAATTGATCGGGTGGAGCGAAATGGCCATGACCGCGAGCCCAAATCTAGAAGAATATCACTGCATTAGACTGTTAGACTTTTGTAGATTTAATTAATTTAGTTAATTTCTATGTCATTTCATTTTATTGGTTTGATTTTACCTTAACATGACGTCCAGCTTTGAGAATGTAATCTTGTGGGAAGGTGAACACGATCTCTCTCTTTCCATCGATTTTTCTTTTCAATTTCCATCCACCCATCGTCTCATCTTTGGCGCGATGAGTATTCTCCAACATGATGAATTTCCCTTCGGGAGAGGTTTCCTAAAAAGATCTCATTGTACTGGAAAAGAAGGCTAGAAATTCCTCTCAGCTGTGCGGTCTTCGTGCGGCCACGTAATCGCTTGCCGTCTGGCGCAGGGCTTTTTCATAAGAGGGGCTTTTTCGGTTAGGGTCGACTTTTCATCAATCTATTCTTCGGTAATCTTCGTTGCGGGCAGCTTTAGCTTATCGAGGGGGGCGATTATTTTGACTCTGACGCCCATTTGGTGCAAAACTTGGTTACTTCACCCAGCGCTGGCTATTTTATTTTTACTTCACCGAGCGCTGGCCCTTCGTTACTTCATTCGCTGGTCATTTTATTTGCCGAGATTTCAAGAAAGACACGCTCAGATGTCAGAATTTCAAGAAAAGCTACTCTATATTCATGTTAACTATTTTTTAATTTTCATCTTGGCAAGATTATGGTAACTTTCAAATGTTTACGGCATTTAAAATAGGGTTTATTTTGTGAAAATACCTGAATCGAGACGTTTCCTTTAGCCGATCGACTGTACGAGGTACGAGATGAGGTCTCTCCCTTCAATACACGCATTGTTTCTAAAAAAATAAATTATATGCATTGTTTTGTATGTGAATTCTTACCAGTATCGGCGTCTTCTTTGATTCCAGTGGTGCGGACAACTTGTTCAACCAATTGCTTCAATCCAGGTCCTCCCTCTTCTCCCTCCAACATTTTTCTGTAGATCGCGATCTCGGCATCCAGAGTCTAAACAGTAATTCATTTATTTTAAAGTCTGAAATGAATTCATTTATCTTTTTGATATTATGGAATTTATTTAGATGATTTCAAAACGGATAAGAACTGCTTTTGTTCTTATCCGTTTTGTAGATTGTAGTTCGATTTCCCCCACCTGCTTTGTATCCAACAACATCTGCAACTCGACCATCAATGCCTGGCATTCTTCTCTCATCTTTCTAATCTGTGCATCCTTGTCATTCAACGCTGCTTCATATGATCTCTGATCATCTTCCAATTGATAGTTCAACTCTTTGATTTGATTCTCCAACAGAGCATTCCTTCCCTCCAAATCAGTGAGCTTTCCCCGAAGATCGGAGAGTTGTTCACGAAGGCGTTTCACCTCTTCTTTCGCGTATCTAAAGATAAAGATAAAGATAAAGATAAAGATAAAGATGAAGATAAAGATATTTCAAACGATCAAAAGATCTAAAGATTACTAAAGATTACTTTATTTCTCTCAATCAACTCCATTTTCCCTACCCATGTTCCATATTTTGACGAGCTGATTGTGTTTGAATCTCTTGAACTTTCAATTTGTACCAAGAGTCCATATCATTTTTGTTAGCATTCATCATCTAAAAATTCGATTCGTAAAGAGAAATTCATCAATTTTAACTTGTTCGTATTCAGCTCGAATATCCCGAATTGCTGAGGCGAGTTCATTCTTGAAATACTCACGATTCTCATTGGTTGTGTCACGAGCAGCCATTGCCTGAAAAATATAAGCAATTGAGATAAAAGCAATTGAGATAAAAGCTCTACCTGTAGCTCTTTAATCTCTTGATCTTGCGATCTCTTGATGAAATCGATTTCCTCAAGCAAAGTCGTCACTTGGTTTTGATAATCGATACGATTAAGCGTCTCTTGATCGAGGTCCTGAAATAGAAAGATTAGCAGGATTACTATAGTACTCACAGATATGATCTTAGTGACAAGTTTTGGAAAGCAAAGATATTTATCCAACTTACCGTACGAGCTCTTTGCAATTCGCTCACAAGTCTCATGTTTTCTTTCTTCAAGAATTTAATCTCCTCCTCCAAAAGAGCGATACGGCGCTTCAACAAGTTAATCTAAACAAAATCCTTTGCAAAATCTCTTTCTTTCACTCACCTCAGCCTCAATATTTGACAATTTGACGAGAAGATCATCGATAATCTGACGATCACCCACACGACCGCGTTGAGCCTCTTCGAATCTAAAGAACAACATTTGATTGTTATTATTTCTCACACCAACTTTCTACGATACTCATTGAGTTCATCTTGCAATTTGCGAATATCCTTCTCCACATCGCCCTTCAATCTCTCCGTGTCTCCAATCACTTTTTTAGCCGATGTGATCTCTGATTCATACATGATTTTGATTGATGAAGTCCCCTTTCCCCAACGGCCTTGAAGACGATCTAAATCAGCTTGCAGCTTCCGATTCTGGGCCTCCAAGAAGCGAACCTGAACATCAGTTTTAGCTTTGATTCTTTTTTTAGATTCACCTTTTCGATATACGAAGCTAAACGATCATTAAGATCCATAATTTCTTTTTTTTCTCTTTCACGAGCATCACGAATTGTTGAAGCAGCATTTTGACCAAAAGGAGACAATCCTGATTGAGTGGTTGATGATGAGACTTCAGTTACGATCTTTACAACACGATTACCAGAACCTGTAGAAGAATAAGATGATGAAACGACACTGGGAAAGTAAATAAAGGTTCTAATTGCCTAATTTCAGTACCTGGGGCAAAAGAATTGCTAGTGGTAGTAGAGTTGCGGTTGAAAGCTGGACGAGAAGAGATCGAGCTGCGATATTCGTCGCTCATCTTGCCTGAAAATGGTTAATAAAGATGGTTAGGTAATATGTAATAATGAGTTTAATATTTGAAGATTAAGAAAACAGGAGTAATCATTCGGTAAGTGTAGAGAAAAGCAAGAAAAGCAAGAGAAAAGTAAACCTTAAGACTCAAGCCTTTTAAAAGAACGAAAGAGATACAGGAATGGTATACGATTTGAATAGTGGTTGATAGGAATGGATTGGGGTGGGGCAAGCGATTCTCCTTGAGAGTTGGAATGGAGAAAAGTGGGAATGGGTGGGGTTGAGATGGAGGAGAAGGGCGTGTAAGGGGAATGATGCATCCAAGAATGGAAAGGACAAGAAGGGGAAAGACTTTCAAGGACAGTGAGAATCAATGCAATGGGATTGAGATCGTGAAAGCCACAATCAAATCTTTCGCATCCATTCCAAGACCTGTCCTCTTTCTTTTCCATGTCTTGCATGATGAATGGGGTTATCGATGCGAATGCAAAAGAAATTTTGGTCAAGAATGAGGAAATGGGGAACCTGTTGTTCAGTACTATTGGATAAAGATGTTAACTTTTGAGGACAGAGAATCAATGGAGTGGGATTGAGATCGTGAAAGTCACAATCAAATCTTTTGAAAACAATCGTAATCTAGAGTACAAACTATTGGAATCTATAGTACAAACAATCGTAGTCTATAGTCTATAGTAAACAGTCGTAATCTAGACTATAAACTACCATAATCTAGACTACAATCAATCGCTATCCATTTCAGCTATAATTTACAATGAATCTTGAATAAATTGAATAAGAAACAGAAATGCTTATGGTATGGATTATAGCTTTAAAAAGATACTATTAGATAAAAAGCGAGCAATGAGTCTTTCTCCATTTTTGGGTGTGGTTCTCTTCTCTTTTCTCTCTTCATTCACCCTCAAGTAGTTCTATTAGCCACCTTTTTTTAAGTCTCTCCATAAGAAAGCTATGAGAAAAAGTCGAAACACTCAGAGATTAGTCATAAAATTTATGATGTTCCATTGAAAACCTGTCTGCCAATTCAGATTCTTCATCCAATTCAATCGATTTTCGAAATTTTCTTGAGATCTTGAGATCTTTGAGGGATCGATCGACCACACCCAAAAATGTTTTTGCGAAAATTTTAATCAAAAAACTTTTATCGGCATGATTCACTGGGTTTTAAGTCAAAAAAAAAAACTTGATTCAAGATTCAAAAAACACATTGAGAAGTAATCATCATTGAATAATTATCATTGACTTTTAAGAGTTATGCTTAAGTTAAGAAGTTGAAGTCCTGTTATGGCATTAGGTAGTTGAGGTTAAGGAACCTGTTATGGCATTAGATTGTTAAGAAGTAAAGTCTGTAGATAGAGATTCTTCATCTAAACATCCAATCGATCTGTATTAAAATCAAAATTTGACCTAAAATGCATAAAAGCATCTTGAAAAGAAGCAATTAGTGAAATAGTTTCTGTGAAAGTTGCACTTGTTTCGGCAAAGCTTTATCGGCATCATTCACTGGGTTTTAATTCAAAGGACACCTTGACAAGTAATTAGTAAAGTCTTTAGATACAGATTCTTCATCTAAACATCGAATCGATCTGTATTAATCAAAATTTGACCTAAAATTGATAAAAACATCTTGAGAAGAAGCAATTAGTGAAATAGTTTCTGTGAAAGTTGCACATGTTTCCAACGACACTTTCAAAAAGGTTCGTTCAAAAGGACAAAAATCGTAAAATCATTCAATTTCTCCGTTTTTCTCTCTTTTTTTTTTTTGCAGGTCAGAGCTTTTTGATTTGCTGGAAAGTTTTCAAAACAATCACTGATTCATTATATTTTTCTATAGATAAAGATCAATTTCGCTGGAAAGTTATGGATTTTGTTTACTCACCGAGGAAACGGGTAAATTTTAATCAAATTTTGGATAAAAAAGCCGATCAATTAACCATAATTTACTATAATTTACTATAATTGACCATTAAGCCTTCTATAGTAAACTGAAATCTTCAAAACTTAAGATATAACTTGTTTTTAGATCCTTTTTTTTCTTTTTATCTTTTATCTTTTAGAAGTTTTTATTAGTTTTTGATAGAATTAAGCTCTTTAGAGAAATAGATTTTGATATAGATTGATCTTTTAGAGATATAGATAGATCTTTTACCTATTAAAGTTAACAATTGCTTTTGAAAGTCAAACTATACAGAGAAAAGATACATAAAGGTTTAATAGTAGAAAAAGAAAGTTATTGATATTTAATCTTTGTCCATCTTCTGACCATCTTCCCCATTTCTTCTGACCACAAACAGTCTTCTCCATTTTCTTTTCCACCATTCTTTGTTTATTTTGAGAATAAAAGCCCGTCCCCTGTAGATCGCGGGGTGCAGATCGCCACCGACATCAGGAGTTGAGAAGCTTGACATCAGGAGTTGAGAAACTTTTCAGTGAATGGCATTGATCGTTTGTGAAAAAGGATTTACCACAAATTCAATTGTTTATATCGAACAGCTCAATTCATCACTAATCATTGATGAATTTTTTCTTGATTTAAGTGGATTCGCGACTTTTTGTTATTTTCGTATAATTGATATGAGTAATGGATGAAATATGGACGACTGTGTTCATTTTTGAAATAAGTATTGTACTCTATCACTAAATTGCAAATGGTTATGATGTTTCTCTTTGGATTCTTTGAGAGAATGTTGTTCGTTGAAGTGGAATTCGATCAAGCATTGAGTTTTTTTGAGATTCTTTGGATCTCCTAAGGATTCCAAGCACATCAGGAGTTGAGAAACTTTTCAGTGAATGGCATTGATCGTTTGTGAAAAAGGGATTTACCACAAATTGAATCCAATTGTTTATATCGAAGAGCTCAATTCAAAAGATTCAAACTCAGCTTATCACTCTATACATAAAGGTTTAATAGTAGAAAAAGAAAGTTATCTAGATATTTAATCTTTGTCCATCTTCTGACCACAAAACAATCTTTTCCATTTTCTTTGTTTATTTTTTTTGATTTTCTCAGAAACGGGTTTTTAAGAAGCACTTTCTTCATTGAAAAAGTTCTAAATAGAACAAAACAAATGATTGTACTTTTAGATTCGATTTAAATAATAATAACTAGATAAATTTTGAGATAAAATAACTAGATTTATAAAAAATCAAAAATTTTTTTAAGAAAAGTTCTTATTTTTGTCGAAAAATTGAAAAAAAGAGTAAAAAAAACTGAAATAATAATAATAATACTTTATTCAAACGATAAAGTGAAAGAAATCATAGAGAAATGCACAGTGATACTTAATCATACAATACATACTGAAATCAATAAGCCAATTACTTACGGCAAAGAGCCACTAGATCTAAAGCATCGATACGTTTCTTGAATATGAAAAGCGACTGAATTTCTCGTATGTCGTTTGGGAGCAAGTTCCATAATCTAGCGGCTCTAACGGGAAATGAATTTGATAAAGAGGCATTGGGGGGGGCCCAGAAAGGGAAGGGTCTGTGGTCGACAACTACACTTCTGCCTCAGTAAATGTGGAAGCGGGTTGTGATCTGCGCTAAGTGCGAAGACAGATCAAATCATTATTATTATTATAAAGAGGCATTGGAAGCAAAGGGAATTTGCAAAAGGAATGAGCCACTTCTGGGCCCTGACCGCGGTTTAAATTTGAAAAAGTCTATAAACGAAGGGCTAATCTGTTTACAACGGAGGATTTTGAAAGTTTCGACTAAATCAATGACAAAGCGACGATGCTGTAAAGTTTTTAGTTCAAAAAAAGCAAGTCTCTCCTCATAAGTAAAGCTAGAATATTTAGAATAGTCAATTTTCCATAAAGCGACTTTTGTGAACCTCCTATCTAGATAAATTCTTCAAATTAATACTAAAATTGTGTAAACTTTTGCTTTTCGGTCCTTTCAATCATAGAGTTTTTTGTATAAAATATGCGAATTAAAATGATCGATTTGGGAAAAAAGAAAAAAAAGAACAAGGGAATTTTCATTTATTCCACTTTTTTACTTTAAAAAATATACTTTTTGATAAATTTTGATTCTTAAAACCTAGTTTATCTATTATAATTGTTTATTGATCGAATAGATTTGTAATTAGAATAACTATTAAAGAATTAGCTAATCAGTGATCACAGCTACATTAAACTTTAGAAATTTTTCTAAACTTTTCAATGATCATCGACTTTTTTTGTTTCAAAAACCCGCGTTTCCTAAGCAAATAATGAAAGCATTCAAAGATTGAAAGATGGAAAGAAAGAAGAGAAGAAAGAAGAGAAGAAAGAAGGAAGAAAGAAGGAAGAAAGAAGGAAGAAGCAAAGAAAGAAGAAAAAAGAGAAGACCCACCCACACTCGACAGTTTTCTCTTGTCTAATCAATATTTCTCGAAATTTTCTTTAATCAATCATATAATTTCTAGAATTTGATGGCAAGAAGGAATGCAATTCGACAAAAGAAAAGTTTTCTTGATGATGAGCAAACAAAAGATGCTTTAAAAGTAAGTTAAATATAGTAGATCTTTATTTTTTGGAAAAATTTCTTACTATACTTATTTTCTAAACGTCTCTAATATAAATGTTTTCTCTTTAAAGATCTCTATAAGCTCTCTGTAAGCTCTATAAGCTCTCTATGAGCTCTATAAGCTCTCTATGAGCTCTATAAGCTCTCTATAAGCTCTATAAGCTCTCTATGAGCTCTATAAGCTCTCTATGAGCTCTATAAGCTCTCTATAAGCTCTATAAGCTCTCTATAAGCTCTCTTTCTCTCTTTAAAGCTTTAAAGTTTATAGCTTTCAATTGTAAATGTTTAAATGATAAAAAATAAGAATAAATTTCAAACCCAGTTGATACAAGATTCCATGGAATTTCAGATTTCAGTTTATTTTGAGATTTGTCTTCTAAAATTCAGATCTCAAAATTCTCAGAGCGCAAATGACCCAATTGCGCAAATAAAATGAAGGAAATTAGCCTACCCCATATCTTTCAAAGTTTCAACCTTGCATCCAGTTTCTAGATCTACTTGATTATAACTCTTTACAATAACCTTTATGCCTACGCCCACTCTACTCTAATATAAACTCTAATATCTATTTTAATATAAACTCTAATTTCTATTCTATTGGGTTGGGGAGAATGAGTCGGCGCCGAAAATGAAAAAAATGTCTAAAACTTCTATTCGACTTCGTCAAATAATATGCGTTTGATATGAGTAGAATGGTTAACTAATTCTCTACAAAATCACATTTAAAAGAAAATTCAAACAGCGCCTCCGCTCAAGAAAAAGCCATTTTTTCACAAAAACTACAAACTGTCATCTAGAAAAAACCATTGGTGGGATCTTCCTGCAAATTTGGCAACTTAAGTAATTGAATGTGCTCTATCTTTTTTATATAAACACCAAAGAAGGTTTATGTGAAAGAAACTGTTCAAATGATGAGTCGGACTCTTTGCCATTTTAACCAGCTGCGTTTCGAAGTTCATAAACTCCACGAAAGAAAAGCTTTGTGGAATCTCTCAAAAGTGATTTTGTAGAGAAATAGTGGATCCTTTTGATGAAACCAAACGTATGTTTAAAGAAGGCTTTATGTGTGCAAAAAGTCCCTTTAAAGTTTGGCGCCGACTCATTCTCCCCAACCCAATAATATAAACTCTAATATCTATTCTAATATAAACTTTAATATCTATTCTAATATAAACTTTAATATCTATTCTAATATAAACTCTAATATCTATTCTAATATAAACTCTAATATCCATTCTAATATAAACTCAAATACTCTAATATGTTTTATCTTTAAAGTCTAGCTTTCAATTGTAAATGTTTAAATCATAAAAAAAATAACAATAAATTTCAATACAAGATTCCATGGAATTACAGATTCTCGGCAAATATGTGAAAGTGAAATATGGAGGAATGATTGGTGGACTAAATGGATCAAATGCTAATCTGATGCGAAATGATTCTGAGCAATTCCCCCCTTTGTCAAGGTAAGAAAAAGGAAACAATCTGAAACGTAAACTATTGATCGATAAGTTACGTTGGCCTCTGAAACGTTGATCGATAAGTTAGACCCTTTTTTCTATTAGCTTTTATAAATGAGAAATTCACTAATTCATTTACAATTGACTTTATTAAAAAGGCCAATTATTTCTCTACAAAATATCATTCAAATTTTATGAAAATCTTTTTTTCTCTGGTTTTTTTATAGAAGTGTGAAGTCGGGTAGTCAAAAAAAAAGGCTTGAAGACGCAATTTTGCCACTTTCTTTCACAGAAATCTATGTTTTTTATGAATAGATAAAAGATAGAGCGCAAAAAGTTACCGTAAATACTGTAATAGTACCCCACCGCCCTCGTACAGTCGCGTAGTCGCGTAAAAGTACTGATTTTGGGTTGATTTTCTCTGCAAAAATCGATTTTTTTAGAGCCAAAACAGCTGAACGTCAGCCAACAATCGCCTCAACTCCATTCTCAGAAAATGGCCCACTCAGTCCACATTATTCCGAAGGACCGAGTGTTAAAGAAGAGATTAAGTATAAGATTTTATATTCTATTATTCCCCAAAAGTTTATTTATATATATCTATTGGATTTTAAAGGGATACTCCGGTCTAAAAGTTGACTCTCATGAATCGCGGTCATTTATATATTGCCGTATTCTCTCTGATAGTCGTGCACCATGAGCTTTGCCTAAATTGTTCGAAATCTCGAGAACCGCTTATCAGAACCTATCGATGTGGGATGAGGAAATGTAGCTGACGATGAGATCTTGTGGGGATTTGAGTGTTGAGCTTCTGGGAAAACTTTGGAAGCCGTAAAATAGTCATCAACTCGGCACTACTATTAGAGAGAAAGAGAATAGAGCAAGCAGCTTTGGCAGATTACGGTAACATCTGTGAGGTGATACCTCTTTTTCAGGCATTTAATTTCTAGATTACAATAGTTTTAGCTGAATCCAGTGATCGCCGAACCCCGTATTCTCTCTAATAGTAGTGCACCTTGAGCGTCCCCTAAATTCCTCGAAATCTCGAGAACCGCTTATCAGAACCTATCGATGTGGGATCGGAAAATGTAGCTGACGATGAGATCTTGTGGGGGATTTGAGTGTTGAGCTTCTGGGAAAACTTAGAAACTGTAAAATAATCATCAACTTGGCTCGGCACTACTATTAGAGAGAATACGGGATTCGATTCGTTTTAATCTCTCCTCTACAACTATTTCCTATATGAAAAACAAGGTTTTCAATCGAGAAATGAAGAAAAACGCAATTTTGACTTTCCGTTTTACCCTAAAACGTGGATATTTAGCCAAAAAGTCGATAAAGTTTCAGTCCAATTGCATTTTAGCCCTTACATTCTTTTCTTTTGTATGTATTTTCTCAAATTTAACAGCAATTCTAATTTTTTTTTTGTTTTTTTAATAGAAAACATGTTAAAAAGTTCAAAATTAGACTTAAGAAGACTTGAAAAAAACAAATAATCAATTTAAAACTGACTTTTCTTTGGCCAGAGTATCGCTTTAAAGTTTAATAAAATTTGATGGTGTGCAGTAGACATGGGAAAATTCCAACCGAAACCTAATTCCACCTTCGTTTTCTCGGCCGTCTCTTGGTCGATTGTTCTGAAATTTTGTTTACAAATAGAAATTAGCATTCTCTGTTTGTAAACAAAATTTCAGAACAATCGACCAAGAGACGGCTGAGAAAACGAAGGTGGAATTAGGTTTCGGTTGGAATTTTCCCATGTCTAGGGTGCAGTGTGAGAGAGAATACCGATTTGGCTACAGTTGGTTTCATTCGATAGCTCGGATTAATATCTATGATTAATAGTCTTATTATTGCGTATCAGCCAAGGGTTTTTTTTGGGTGTTTTGGGGATGCAGGGCTTTTGTCGCCGAATACCGATGGGAGCAATGATTATTAGATATTTATTCCGAATCTAGCACTAATCTAGCGAGAAAAAACAAAAGAATAGAATGAATCGTTTGATTCAGTGTTTTCATAGCAATACAAAAAGCAATACGAAAAGGAAAGAGAAAAGAATATACGGAAAAGAATATATAAAGTGAGCTCCGTCCCTTTTATCCGTCCCTTTATCATAAAATCAATCTTTTAGAGGCGGGAAAAGAGAATCAGATATTCAAATTAAAAGATTAAATAATAATTTCACAGAAAAGAGCGACTTTTCTGCCTTTTCTGCACAAATGGAATCGATTTTCAATCGATTTTCAATCAATTTTCAGATTTGATCGAAATCGTGAATCTCTAGCTCAATACATTCGACGTTTAATCGTTTTTTTCTACAATTATTTAGGTGAAATCAAATTTTCTTAGAGAAATTCTTCAAATTTAGGCTTACAACATTTACTATTACTATTTATTTTAATCTGTTATGCATTAATTGGTGGATACGTTTTTCAAACATTAGAGGAACCGTTTGAAAAGAAATTGTTACTGGAAAAGGCAAAGGTAAACATATGGAAATGGTTTTAAATTTCGAGGAATTTCCTAGATTTCTTTGGAATTTCGATTTGAAACCGCTCAAAAACTCGTCGATTTTGTGAAAATGGGAAATTGCTCAAAAAAAGTACTATTTTTCGATCGAATTCTATATTTCTTTTTGCAGTTAGTATCACGAAATTTCGATAAAAATCTTTCAATGAATCGATCGATCAGTGATTGTGAATGGAAAATGATTGAAATGATTCGGGAATTTGAGAAAGCATTGAAGAAACAATGGGGCATCAATGAACAATGGAAATGGGACTTTTGGAATGCTGTTTTTTATTCGGGAACATTGTTCACGACGATAGGTAAGTCATCAGAAAGAGCGAAGAGATTCAGAGCTTGGAAATTGTTTTAATGAGTATTTCTTTATTCAAAGCAAGCTCAAGCAAGCCTAAGCAAGCCTAAGCAAGCCTAAGTAAGCTCAAGCAAGCCTAACCAAGACTAAGCAAGCTCAAGCAAGCCTAGGCAAGCCTAAGCAAGCTCAAGCAAGCCTAAGCAAGCTCAAGCAAGCCTAAGCAAGCCTAAGCAAGCTCAAGCAAGCTCAAGCAAGCCTAAGCAAGACTTCTGCTTAATTCCTTTCAAGATATACTAACCGGAGTCCAGTCAAGGTCAAGTCAAGCCTCAAATCAAGCCAAACCAAGACTACTTTTGCTGGGTCAAGCTTCGTTCACTTACTCAACTAGAATTTGAATTCATAATCGATTCTCTCTACTTTTTACATTGAACAACGATTTCAGGATACGGCAATCTTGCTTGTCGAACAGATTACGGTCGTCTTGCCACAATTCTTTACACTTTACTGGGTATTCCATTGATGTTAATGGTTCTAGACTCACTTGGAAAAGCGATGTTTACATGGATCCAAATCATTTATCTCAATTTTAGACGGTAAACAGAAATCAAATTTCAAATAATATGAAAAGATTTTTAGAAAATTGAGAAATCGAGTGCGAACAGTGAAGAAAGTTTATTTGAAACGATCAGCTACAGTTGAATCTGTGTCTTCTGATGAAGTGCAACCATTTAAATCGGTTTCTTTTTTCAATATTTCATTATTATATCATATTTCAAAAGTTTAGCCAACAGAATGTGAAGATTTATTCAAAACTTTCCCATTGAAATTAGCAATTCCTATCATTTTTCTCTACTGTTTTATTTGTTCATTAATCTTTTGCAAATGGGAAGATGGTGAGGCTAAAATTATTTCTATAAATTTCCAATTTAGAATGGGATTACTTCACCTCTTTCTATTTCTTTTTCATATCTTTAACAACAGTTGGATTGGGTGATGTCATGCCACAACATCCACGTTTTGCTTCTGGTAATATTTGTACGACTTTGTACAATTGATTGAAGTCAAAAAAAATAGAGCTTTATTTAATTTAAGCTTTAAAAAGATAGAAAAAATGTAAGATTTCAAAAGTAAAATCCTGAAGAATGATGAATTCATCATTCTTATTTCTCTCTAATAGTAGTGCACCCTGAGCGTTGACCGAGTGGACCGAGTGTTAAAGAAGAGATTAAGTATAAGATTTTATATTCTATTATTCCCCAAAAGTTTATTTATATATATCTATTGGATTTTAAAGGGATACTCCGGTCTAAAAGTTGACTTTCATGAATCGCGGTCATTTATATATTGCCGTATTCTCTCTGATAGTCGTGCACCCTGAGCGTTGACTAAATTGTTCGAAATCTCGAAGAGCGCTTATCAGAACCTATCGATGTGGGGTCGGAAAATGTAGCTGACGATGAGATCTTGTGGGGGATTTGAGTGTTGAGCTTCTGGGAAAACTTTGGAAGCCGTAAAATAGTCATCAACTCGGCACTACTATTAGAGAGAAAGAGAATAGAGCAAGCAACTTCGGCAGATTACGGTTACATCTGTGAGGTGATACCTCTTTTTCAGGCATTTAATTTCTAGATTACAATAGTTTTAGCTGAATCCAGTGATCGCCGAACCCCGTATTCTCTCTAATAGTAGTACACCGAGAGCGTTGTCTAAATTCCTCGAAATCTCGAGAACCGCTTATCAGAACCTATCGATGTGGGATCGGGAAATGTAGCTGACGATGAGATCTTGTGGGGGATTTGAGTATTGGGCTTCTAGGAAAACTTAGAAACCGTAAAATAGTCCTTAACTCGGCTCACAACAACTTGGCACTACTATTAGAGAAACTACGATAAGTGATGAATTGAATGAAATGAATATAAGAATGATGAATTATCAAATGAAACTATCAATACTTTAATGTATTTATTACAAATAGAAAACAGGCACTAACTCTAACTTTATATTCGTTTTGCTCACTTTCGACATATTTAAGCCCTTTTCCTTGCTTTCATCATTGGTTTGGCGCTCGTTTCAATGTGTGTCTCGTTAATGCATCAACGAGTCGAAAATCGCTACATGGCCGCCCTTCAACTCATCGATCAAGAACACCTTGTGAGTCATTTATATTCAAAAATCATCAAATAAATTTAAAAGTTTACTTCAAAAATGTCGATTTGAATTTGTTTTCACTAAAATTTTTGGGTGTGTGAAAAAGTAATCGACATTTTTAACGTTTAAATATAAAAGACCATAAGTTTCGTTAAAATAATTTTTATTGAACGAAGTAATGACCATTCGAAAGGACAACCTTTTTGCCAACGTTCTACAAGTAAAGACATTCTATGATACTAAAAATTTTGGTCCTTAGAGGCGAAGAAAAGATCAACCTCGGTTTTGAGATCTTCTTCGGAATTGTACCATTTATTGGCCAAAAAGTTAGACAGAGACAAAAATAAATAATAATCAGATGGAGAAAGGTCTGGACTATAAGGTGGATGTGGTAAAACCTCCCATCCAATACTCTGGATTTTTTTGTCGAGTCTGTAAAGAGACATGTGGTCGCGCGTTATCGTTCATGCGGTATCCATTTGTTGATTTGATAAAATTCATGACATTCAAGCGTTTCCTTACGGTTGACCCATCACAATTTCATGTAAAGCCTATTTCTGAAGAGGTTGAACGAGGGTTTTCGAGAAGAGAGCGTCTTAAAAATAAAAAAACGTCGATTACTTTTTCACACACCTAAAAATCTGTAGAAGTATAAACTTAAATATTCGATAAAATAAAGAAAACGGTGGTATTTAAAATCAAAAAAAAAAAAGACATATCTCTACGTTCTTTTTGCATAATTAGTGAAGAATTCTTAAGAAAAAAAAGCTCTTGATAGGCTTTAATGTTTCTAAATAATTTGATTTTTTTTTGATAAGAGCGGCCAATTCTGGATTCTTCTAGCTTTCTTAACTCATTCGAAACTTCTGCAGCGAATAATCGCTGCAGCAAAAACTCAGGAACGGACCGCTGCAGCGATTGAGCTATTTTCATTCGATTAATTGCTTTTTTTTCGCTGTTTTTCAGCATTACATGTATATTCCAATTGTAGCAGATCTACAAATTACATGGGCAAAAAAGATGTTTCATATTTACCCGGAATCAATGCAGTCTCTGGTTTTGCATTTAAATGTTCCATAATAGCTCTAATCTTATAAAGCCGATCTCCTGCAGGATCCAGTTCATTATCACAAAAACGCAGCTTGCGAAGAATAGATTCAAATTTTGCTCTTGACATAATGTGGGACATGCGGGGAAAATCCTCCTAATCCAGGCCTGCTACTCCAGTAGTCACGAATCCTCGGTAATTTGACGATTCCCATTTGAAGCCAGGAAGAGCTTGAAAGATTTAGCATCGAAATCCCGCCAGTTTGTTTTCCTTTTTCCATGTTTATTAGATTCGCCTACTAAAATATTGTCGTCGATAAAATAAGAAGAATAATCGATAGGATCTTGAAAAGTACTGAAGTCAAATCCAAATCGTTCTTCATCAAAAATAAATGGTGTAGGAGACTCTCTTACATCTTTCCAACCATAAATAAACTGCCTCGGAGTCAAAAATGTCAAAAAAGGGCTTGGGTTAATAAATCAAATGATAAAATAGATTCTAAGAATTTATTTTATTTCGCTTTTTAGTTGTAACAAGTTTTTGTTTGTATTTTAAGAAAAATGGCATGCATTCTCATACAAATCCTCTAGAAATCTATTACGTAATAGATGATTTTCAGAATTTCTTTTCTTTTACTTATAATTTACTTAAGATAAGTCTTTTTCTTTTTTCTTTTACCGATTTTTTTTTTCAAAGTTTCTATTATATTTCTAGTTTCTATTATATGCAAGTTTCTATTATTTCTATTATATTCTCAATTTTTGAACTTCGATAGTAAACTTAGTGAAATCGGACTTAGTGATATTCGTTAATCAAAAGAATCGTAATCGTTGAAGAAAACTAATCCAAGATAAGTCAACACTTTTGTGACAGCTCGTCGAGTTTAAACAGCTCGTCGAATCTTTTGTGAACATTCTTGCTTGAACAAGCTCTTTTCTTGGGGCACAACGAGATCCATCTTTCAAATTCTCTCTCAATTATTCGATATTCGTCAATCAAATTCAACGTAATCGTTGCAGAAAACTAACTAAGAAAACTAAGAAAACAAATTCAAGATGTCAACACTTTTGTGAAACTTGAGTTTTTAACGGAAAACAAATTATCTTCTATCAAAAATCCTTGATTTTATTGAATTCCCCTTGAATCTCGAAAATAGTTTGAAGGGAGTTTTGAACAGCTCGTCGAATCTTTTGTGAACATTGTTGCTTGAAAGAGCTCTTTTTTTTGGGCACAACGAGATCCTTCTTTCAAATTCTCTCTCAATTAAAATCAAAATCAATGAAGAGAATAAGAGTTCAAGCATTTTCTTTGTGCAAAAAAGGATTCAATTTTTGATAGTTGAAAGGAGGAGGATTCTTCGTGTTTGAAAGAAGGGGAATCCAAAAAAAAATCGATTATTCATGCTATTTTGAATTTAGAGGAAACTGGAAAGCATTTTCCGAGAAAACATTTTGATGTCAAGCACTAAAATCCACTAAATACCGTAATCCGCTTTTTTCTTACTCCCCAAATTTCAGGAAGCTCTCGAAGCACAACGGGAGAATGAAGGAGATGTTGATGGAGAGACACCAAAGCCGACAATTGCACATAGAAGTTGGTTTTTAAAGTGATTGATGTGCATGTTTGTCTGCATGAAATGTCTGTCTTTGATAGAAATGATTGATGGAGTGATTGCACGAAATGATCAAGATCAAGATGACGTCATTTTGAGAGCATATCGAAAGAATTCGATTCGATTGTCGACCACATCGTTGAATGAATTGAAAGGAGGAGGAGGGAATGGAAATGGACAACAAAGGGGATCAATGTTTGGGATTAATATTTCAGGTAAGTTCATTGTTTCACTCTTTTTCCAAGTTTTACAGGGTTGTCCGGGATTACAAGGGCTAAAGAAATTGATGATTTAAAGACGATAAAATGATAATAAAACAACAAAAATTCATGTTAATACAATAATTTAACATAAAAATTCCCTTGGCGGCAACACAGGCGTTTTGGGAAACCATTCTTGTCCATTCCATTTACTTTCCCATTTCCTAAATGAGAGATAGATGAATGGGGCCAGGTGAATGGATAGAAGAGGAATATGGGGAAGATGGGAAGAGGAATATGGGGAAGATGGGAAGAGGAAATGGGGAAGATGGGAAGAGGAAATGGGGAAGATGGGAAGAGGAAATGGGGAAGATGGGAAGAGGAAATGGGGAAGATGGGAAGAGGAAATGGGGAAGATGGGAAGAGGAAATGGGGAAGATGGGAAGACTTCTTGAATCCCCTTGACGATTCTTCACTTCATTCCTTTTCTCTTTTCTCCTCTCATCTCACCGATTCACGGTGGTGAGAAGGTATACTGTGTATACTGTATACTGTATACTGCATACTGTATACTGTATACTTTCTCTGTATACTGTATAATGTATACTGTATACTGTATACTGTATAATGTATACTGTATACTGTATACTGTGTTCAGCTCGTCCCAAGCTTTCTGTAAAGCTTTCTTCAAAGAATTGACTGTTGGATTTCGAGCATGCTTTTGCTTCCAATACATTCCAGAAACGAGAAGGTTAAAGTCCGGTTAAAGTCCGGTTAAAGTTCTTTGCTATCCTCTCCGAATGAGTGACTTTTAAGCGTAGCTGATCTCGAACCTTCTTGATATTAGTCTTCGTGACAACGATCGCTTTACCAGTCCAGAACGATCAGAATTTCTTCCTAACTCTTGAAAGGCTTTGATCAGGTTGTAAACAAGTTGTTTGCGTATCATCAATTACTTAGAGATCGCCAGAACGTCACACTTGTGTAGGTCGATGATCACATCTCGGTAGACTCACTTCTTGACCATTCTAAGCCCACGTAATCCTGGACAATCATCACTCGATCCATTTTCCCGTCAAATAATTTCACTTCCTCACAACAGAATCCTTTTTAACACATTCAAAATGGTATTTTTAGTATTTGATAACTGTTTAATTGATAATTTCTGTAAATTCAACAATAAACTAAACTAGATTGAGGTTTTTCATTTCTCCTGTAGACCCTGGAAATCTCTCATGATGGAAAGTGGTGTCAATCTTTGCAGTGATAACACTTTAACAGTTAAATCTTCCTAACAACGTGTCCTAAACATTAGCAAGCATTTTCCGAGAAAACATTTTCGTGTCGCGCACTAAAATCCACCTTTTTTCTTACTTTTTCGTAATTTCTACTCGTAGTTTTGCTTTTTAAATTGTTTTTAAATCAATTATTGTTTCACTATTCAATTCTACTTTATTTATCAATAGAATCAATAGAAAATCGAATAAAAAATAGCTAAAAAAAGGCGGATTACGGTAAATTAGTGGATTTTGTTTTCAAAATCAAAGATCAAGATCAAAATGTTTTCTCGGAAAATGCTTCCCAGTTTTCTCTAAACTCAAAATAGCATGAATAATCGAATTTTTTTTTTGGATTCCCCTTCTTTCAAACACTCACAAAACTGGAGAAAAATGATGAGAATTCGTCAATCTTTTTTTCTTTTCTTCCACCCACTCGTTGTATCTTGATCGATCAAGAAAATTTCCCGTCTTTTTTTCCATTGAAATTCCTTATCTTGAATAGAAAGACCCATCTTTTGCAAATAGTCGATGAGTCAATGAACTTTTTTTTTGAAAAAGCAATCCATCTGAATAGGTTTTATGAGATTTTCAAATGGAAATTTGAATAGATTAGGAAATAAAGATCGTTAGGAAATAAAATTCGTATGAAAATCTTGCATTTAACAAGTAAATCAGAATAGATTTAGCATAAATTTGGGGGGTAGTCAAAACAGCGCCCTCACAATTTCTCACAATCCAAAAAACCAAGCCGGTTCAAGTTTTATATCAAAAAAAATTCCTTGCGTTCTTGGCTACATGATGGGTAAAAAGATTTGTTAAAAAAGTTAATATTTCATAGATAAAAAGAGCACTCAAAATGGATCTCTAAAGATATGCAGTTAACCAACCTAACGTAACTACTGTAATAGCACCCCACCGCCCTCGTACAGTCGCGTAGTCGCAAAAGTTTTCTAGTATTTCATTTTTTTTCAAAGCGCCCGTACTTTCAACAAATGCGTCTTTGGTATCAAAAAATAGCCCTAAATTCCAGCTATTTTTTGATACCTAAGCGAGCATTATATCATAAACCAGTGTCGAGAAGCACTCGTCCAAAGCTAGACTACGCAACACTCCGCACCGTCATTATGGGGGTGGGGTACTATTACAGTATTTACGGTAGTATCACTCGACATTTGGTTCTTATTCGTTTCCTATTTGTCTCCACATAGTTTCAATTCAGTTCCTATTTGGTTCCTATTTTTTTTGCCTATTTTTTTCCTTATATTGGGTTGGGGAGAATGAGTCGGCGCCGAAAATCAAAGAAATTTCTAAAACTTATAGCAGACTTTGTCAAATGATATGCGTTTGATATCCGTAGAAGGGCAACTAATTCTCTACAAAATAATATTTAAAAGAGAACTCAAACAGCGCCTCAACTCAACAAAGGATCATTTTTTCACAAAATCGATAAACTGTCATCTAGAGTAAACGGTTGGAGGGATCTTCCTGAAAATTTGATAACTTATGTAATTGAGTGTGCTCTATCTTTTTTATATAAACACCAAAGGAGGTTTATGTGGAAGAAACTGTTCAAGCAATGAGTCGGACTTTTTGTCATTTTGATTAGCTGTGTTTGGGAATCCATAAAATCCCAAAAAAGAAAAGCTTTGTGGAATCTCTCAAAAGCCATTTTGTAAAGAAATAGTGGACCATTTTGATGAAACAAAACGTGTATTTAAAGAAGGTTTTATGGGTGCAAAAAGTTTCTTTAAATTTCGGCGCCGACTCATTCTCCCCAGCCCAATAGTTCCAATTCAGTTCCTATTTGGTTCCTATTTTTTTGCCTATTTGTTTCCTTATAGTTCCAATTCAGTTCCTATTTGGTTCTGACTTGATTCCTTATAGTTCCAATTCAGTTCCTTGTTGTTTCTTATTCGGCTCCTATTTGTTTCCTAATAGTTCCAATTCAGTGCTATTTGGTTCTAATTCAGTCCCTCTTTGGTTCCTGTTTGATTCCTCTTTGTTTCCATATAGTTCCATAGTCATTATGGGGGTGGGGTACTATTACAGTATTTACGGTACCACTCGAACACACATTTTGAGTGCTCTTTTTTATCAATAAAATATTAACTTTTTCACCCATCATGTAGCCAAGAACGCAAGGAATTTTTTTTGATATAAAACTTGAACCGGCTTGGTTTTTTGGATTTTTGAGAAATTGTGACGGTGCTGTTTTGAACGTTTTCTATTATGGCGCTGTTTTGACTCCCCCCGCCCCCCAAAAATTTGTTTAAAGTTTGAAAAATTTTTGTTTAAAATACAAGTCAAGAATATTTAGAGTGGATCTAGATCCACTTTAGATAGAAATAAAGACGTCATTTTTAGCTTGGCTTGCTTCTACACCTAACTCAATCAGATTTTTAGCTTGGCTTGCTTCTACACCCAACTCAATCAGATACAGAAATAGCCCATCAACGGAAAGCAATCGAGAATCTTGTAAGAGTTTTTTTGTTTTGTTTATTGAACTTATTGATTAGGTATTTCACCGGATAATGGCCCACCAAGTGCAATTCTTGGCTTACTGCACTCATTCTCTCGACAAACTTCTCTAAGCAAGAATTTAAAACAATATCGATCTGAGAATATAAGTCGACCGAATAGGTTTGTTCAAGATTTTTAAAGGTTTTTCTTTTTCTTTTTAGTTTACGACCGTTCTCTTTCAATTCGGAGATGGATTTGATGTCAAGCGATAGGTGAACTTTACAGGATTTAAGCTACGGTATTCTCTCTAATAGTATTGCGGTTCAGGAGGGGGTTGAAAAAAATAGTTAGAGAGTGCACTACTATTCTCTCTAAATAGTATTACACTCTCTAATAGTATTGCGGTTCAGGAGGGGGTTGAAAAAAAATAGTTAGAGAGTGCACTACTATTCTCTAAATAGTATTACACTCTCTAATAGTATTGCGGTCTAGGAGGGGGTTGAAAAAAATAGTAATGCGCACTACTATTAGAGAGAATACGGTATATTTGTTTTAAAGAATCAAATTCCAAGCATTCTGTGACATTCAGATCCCCATTGCCTACTCCAGATTTTTCCCTTCTCACTCCCGGCTCTTCTCGTTCAACCGCTTCCGCTCCAAATCTCACTCAAAATCGTCAATCAACTCAACCACTTTCTGTGATAACAGAAGGAGAAGAAGATTCACTTATAAGTAGAGGAAATTCAAGAAAGTTTAAAAAGAAAGAATATTGAGAAAAAGAAGATATTTAGAAAGAAATCATTGAAACGACAAACAAGTGAGGAAAAGGAATCTCTTGATCAAACTCAACCACAATTATTACCACCATCAGAAGGAAGTTTGGTGAGTTTTCGATTCTCAAAACAATAAGAATTGTTATAAGCTGATTACAGTACTCTTATTAGCATCTAAAAGCTATCGTAATCCTTAAGTTTCAATTCAATCAACCATCTTTTCATTTCTTTATTGAATGAGGCTAAAATTGAGGTAAATTCGGTAACGACAGATTAGAAAATGTATTAACTTTAATGATAACAATCTTATGATTTGAGGAATTGATTTCTAAATAGCTATTAGCTATTAATAGCTATTGTGAATAGCTATTATTGGGTTGTCTAGTTATGAATGCACGTTTTCTTACTATTTTACTATTTCTTAAGATACCGAAATCAAGAAAAAGATTTATTATTCGAAAGCTGAAGATCTCCTCTACATTTTGATATAAAAAGCTTTTGAATTTGTCCAGCTTTTGGGCAAATTGACTGCACAGAAGAAGAGGTGGCCAAAAAATGGAAAGGTGCCTTTGGATCAAGTTTTGGCTCCGCTCAAATTGAGTTAACCGTTTGATGTTTGGCACAATAGATATATCAATACAACTTTTTTTAAACTATAACAATTTCAGAGCATTTTTACTTTACTTTTCTTTTTTGAGCGGTTATTTTACACCATAAAACTTGAGGAATAGCTAAGCTGGAATGGTTTTTTTTTTTCGAAAACGATCTCTCCCTTTTGTGCAGTCAATTTCCCCAAAAAGTTCGAATGAATTCAAAAACTTTTTTATTCCAAAATGTAGAGGAGATCTTTAGCTTTCGAATGATATATAACACTCAAAGGCCAAAGAATAGAGGAGATCTTTAGCTTTCGAATGATATGTAACACTCAAAAGCCAAAGAATAGAGGAGATCTTTAGCTTTCGAATGATATCTAACACTCAAAGGCCAAAGAATTGGCTCCTTGCCTTTAACCGTAAAAAACCAATCTAGAGTAAATTAAGTTCAAAATTGCAATTTTGAATGATACATCTGTTTGATAGCTTGAGAAATTTACAAAATAGTAAAAAACATTTATAATTACGCATTTATAACTGGACAACCCAATTAGAAAGCTTAAAACTGTTTAGGCAAGAAGACGAAGCATTGATCCTCCAAAATCTTTGAGTTTATCTGTTGAGCATCGATCTGAATCAATCAGTGATCGATCAGTTGAATGATTTGAGATTTTAATAAAGAAATAAATGTTCTTTTTTTAATTCTCAAAGAAAATTTGAGTCTAGTATGATGTTTGGAGTGAAAAGAGTCAAAAAAAAAACTAAATTTAGACACAAAAAAAAGACAAGGTCATTTCCTAAAAGATGAAAGAAATGAAAGAAATAAAAAAGAAAAGAGTAATCATGACGCAAGGGTTTTTGCTTCTGCAGAATTCATTTCGAATCCTTTAGCCATAAATAGACAAAAAGCGTCAAATAAGCTAAAAAGAGCAGACACGACGATTAGATTACGATTTGTTTTCATTTATTACTTTCAATTACTTAAGTAATGCTTTATTTTAGACTATAACCTAAATCCTCTAAACCTAAATTCTCTCTCCTTCATGGCTATCACAACGGAATAAATCCCCAGTCTCCAGTTACCGTAAAAGTCCAGTCTTATGGAATTAAAGCTGAATTAAGCTGAATACATGATTTCTTCTTTCTTTCTTCCTTTCTTTCCCCTTCCTTTCTCTTGACAAGTTAAGATACTGGATAGCTTTGTGGTTTGGGAATTGCCCCAAGAGATCGAGGGTTCAGTCCCCTCTCCAGATCTCTCAATCTTCAATCACCTCTCCAGATCTCTCAATCTTCTTTATTACGGTAATGAGATAGTAATACGTTTCCTAAAACGGTAAATTTTTGTAAATTACTGTAAACTTGCCTTTTATACTATCTGCTTTTTAATATTTCGTTATCAAAGCTTTTCTAGTGTTCCTTCATTTGTTATTGTAATTTTTGTTTGATATTTTCACATTATTCCTCACATTCAAACTAAAGTCAAGAATTGAAAGGATTGAAAGGTACTTGAGAAAGTAAACAAGTTTTAGAAAAACTTATGGGACAATGGGACAGATTCCTGAACGAGTTCTTGTCCTTGATGACGATGCCTCTATCAGTGCAAGCCAGCTAAATTAGCTAACGACAGATTACGATAGTTTTTAGCATTTTTTAGAAAAAACATCGTAAAAACCATCGTAATCTGTCAAATCAATGAATTGAATCAATGAATGAGTTCTTGTCCTTGATGACGATGCCTCTATCAGTTCAAGCAATCAATGAATTGAATCAATGAATTGAATCAATCAATTGAATCAATCAATTGAATTGATTCTAAATTCAATGGGACAAATTCCTAAATCAGTTTGATGACGATTCCTCTATCAGTACAAGTCAACTTTATGTCTTTTTCCCTTTTCTTCTCCTCCCACTCAATTCCCGATTTCCCGATTTCATGACTCCATTTTGTTTATTTATTTGCATATCTCTATGAGTCAGCTTTAGCTTTCACAATTTGATTGAAATCATCGTCAAACAAAGAGCAAAACCAAGCTAAAATCAATACTTTTCCAACGTTAACCTTTAGAGATTGCTAGTTACCATTCAATTTAAGCTTTGAGTTGATTTTCAAATAAAGTAATAGCAAAAAGGAGTAGCTTATAGATTACTAAAAGCATTATTTCATTCAAAAGCTGAAAGCATTATTTCTCTCTTCAATCTTCAATGATATCCCTTTTTCACATCTTTCTCTAACTCAATATTTACATAAGTGACACATTGAGTGAATCTAAAGAAAAAAAGAGGACAGTTCAACGAATCAAACGATTTGATTTGATCTTTTTAAACTTTTCAAATCTAGCTTGCTATTAGTTTTTTTCATTTTTAAAAGTTTATTAGACATTTAGCCAACAGTTTTCTCGGTTTACATTGTAAAAAATTGAATTGAAACATTGGAAAAACATTGTAGAATGAAGATGAATTCATTTCAATCTCCTAAGCTTCAATCTTCAATCTTCAATCTTCAAAGCTTCTTTCTCTTTGTAATATGATAATTTTACCGTTAACGACGAAGGCCAAATTTTTGACAAACTTGCAGCTCAATTTTATACAAGTTTATGTTAATAGTTTTTGATAAAACAAATAGTTTCTGAAAGCTGACGTTCTAAGCTATCTAAATCTTATTAAAACTTTCTGATCTGATAAGTTTAAGGTACTTAAAAATGAGCTGTAAGTTGGGCAAAGAATTGGCTTCTTGCCTTTAACCGTAAAGACCCATCTAGAGTAAATTAAGTTAAAAATTGCAATTTTGAATTATTTGACAAACTTGCAGATCAATTTTAGATAAGTTTATGTTAATAGTTTTTGATAAAGCAAATAGTTTAATGAAAGCTGACTTTCTAAGCTATCTAACTACCCAAAGCAATGGTTTAAAAGAGAAAGAGCTTTCAAAAAAGGTTTTCAAAGGTTTTCAAAGCTTCTTTCTCTTTGTAATATGATAATTTTACGGTTAACGACGAAGGCCAAGTTTTTGACAAACTTGCAGATCAATTCTAGACAAGTTTATGTTAATAGTTTTTGATAAAACGAATAGTTTAATGAAAGCTGACTTTCTAAGCTATCTAACTACCCAAAGCAATGGTTTAAAAGAGAAAGAGCTTTCAAAAAAGGTTTGCCAGGCTTTTCAAAGCTTCTTTCTCTTTGTAAGATGAGAATTTTATGAATTGATGCCTTTCTCTAATACAATTTACCCAAAAAATTCTCAATTTCTAGTAATTTCTTTGTAAAGTTTAGTACAAAATTGGAAAAGATTAATAAATAAATTGAAATTAAAGTAAAGTATAAAAGATTTTCATATAAATTTGTGCTTTTTCTAAATCTTTACATGAGGAGACTTTTGTTTTCTTTTTCACTCAACTATTTTCAAATAAAACTAGCAAGCTTTGTAAATAAACAACCTCAAAAACGATTTCTAAACTATTTTTGACTTTTAGACTTCTGTAAAGTAAATAAAAACTGTATTTAAAGTGATTCATTTCAAATTTACTGTTATTTTTTTGCGATTACAAGTAAATCTTTTCAATTTTTGATTAAAACCAATCTAAAACAGCTTTTATGGTTAACGACGAAGGCCAAATTTTTGACAAACTTGCAGCTCAATTTTATACAAGTTTATGTTAATAGTTTTTGATAAAACAAATAGTTTCTGAAAGCTGACGTTCTAAGCTATCTAAATCTTATTAAAACTTTGTGATCTGATAAGTTTAAGGTACTTAAAAATGAGCTGTAAGTTGGGCAAAGAATTGGCTTCTTGCCTTTAACCGTAAAGACTCATCTAGAGTAAATTAAGTTCAAAATTACAATTTTGAATTATTTTCTGAATGAATATCCTTCGATTTCACGATTTCTCACGAATGTTACTAAAACTGAGCGGCTCATTTTGCAGGAAATCGAGACCTTTACCCCCCGAAAAAAGGGTTTGGAATAGGGCAATTGTTTTGAGGGAAAATGAATCCCCTCTTGATCTTCTTGAAATAGAAAAATGAAAAGAGATCGTCATTTCAGAAGCTTTTTTTCTTCACTACAACCTAAGCACCCTTTCAAAAAAAAAGAAAGGTCGAAGAGTCAAATTTCGATCGAAAAAAAGAGCTCTTTTTGATAAGAGCTCTTTTACCCGCAAACAATTATACTTCTAAATAGATTTTGTTATAGAAATCTAGCATTTGAAGTAAAATTAAAGAATTGATGAAATTTAAGGCCCAATCTCTCTATTCTAAGCTGTAGACAACTATCCAAAGCAATGTTTTCAAAGAGAAAGAGTTTTTAAAAAGCTTTTCAAAGCTTCTTTCTCTTGATAAGATCAGAATTTTACGGTTAACGACAAAGGGCAAATTTTTGATAAATTTACAACTCAATTTTATATAGGTTTATGTTGATAAAACGAATAGTTTAGTGAAAACTGACTTTCTAAGCTATTTAACTACCCAAAGCAATGTTTTAAAAGAGAAAGAGCTTTAAAAAAAGGTTTTCAAAGCTTTTTTCTCTTTGTAATATGAGAATTTAACGGTTAACGACAAAGGGCAAGCTTTTGATACATTTACAGCTCAAGTTTATATAAGTTTATGTTGATAAAACGAATAGTTTAATGAAAGCTGACTTTCTAAGCTATCTAACTACCCAAAGTAATGTTTTAAAAGAGAAAGAGTTTTTAAAAAAAGATTTTCAAAGCTTCTTTCTCTTTGTAATATGAGAATTTTACGGTTAACGACGAAGGCCAAGTTTTTAATTTAGTTAAAAGTAGAACTTTCACCTTTGTAAAACCTTTGAAAATACAAATTTTTTGAGTGTTTATTTACTTTTTCTAGAATGACTCATTAAAAATAAAAGCTTTTCTAGTATCCCGTCATTTGTTATTGTAATTTCTGTTTGATATTTTCACCAAACCAGTTCCCTTACTCATCTCTTACATCATAAAACTGTTTGCACGTGTTCCCAGTCTCTCAGTCTGCTACTTGACTTTGAATGGGATTAGATTACATGCAAAAAACTTAAATCCTTTTTTCTCTTTTGATGACCTCATCTCAAAATTCATCATCCACCATCAGAGATCGTTGAAATGATCGAATCTACGTCAGCATTTTCATAAGAGAAAGGTTTAAGGGGGATTTGCATGACTAGTGATCCTACTAAGTTCTCTAAAAGATTCAAACTTTTGAACTCAATAAAGTCTTGGACAGCATTGTCCGCTCAAGAGTTCCGCTCAAGGTTTTTGGGGTTAAATTTTAGATTTTTCTTTTATTTAAAAATTCTAGACATATTCCAAAGTCTCTGATTTCTTTCAAAGTTCAAAAGTTTGAATGTTTTAGAGAACTTAGAGGTACAGTCAGAATAAATCACTGATCACCTTTTTCTACAGTGATTTGCCGACTGTTTACTCGAAAATCCCATCGACAAAACCTCATTATTTCACAAATATCTTCATTTTGATCATGATTGGTTAGTTTAAAAAAGAATTCGATGAAATTCAAATGAAATTTCAGGTTCTTTAACCTATTTCTTCTTTCATCATAACACAAAATTTACTCATTTAAAACCAATGAAATACTTAAAATTATATTCGGAAGATTCGTGCGCAACTCCCCACCGAATTTCGCAATTTCTTTAATTTCTCCGTCTCTTTGGCCTGTAGGTTTGCTTATCGTAACAGTACTGGATACAGTACTGGACAAGATACAGTACTGGATACAGTACTGGACAAGATACAGTACTGGATACAGTACTGGATACAGTACTGGACAAGATACAGTACTGGATACAGTACTGGACAAGATACAGTACTGGATACAGTACTGGATACAGTACTGGACAAGATACAGTACTGGATACAGTACTGGACAAGATACAGTACTGGACAATGAAATATGATATTTGAAAAAACGATTGTCACTTTCGCGTGTCTGTAACTCCATTGTCTTTGAGTTTAAACAATTAGTGTTATACCATTTCTGAAAGCTCTTTTCAAGGGCTACACAATGATAATATTAATATTTAGAAATACGGTAAAGACAAGGGAGTTACAGACGCGCAAAAGTGACGATCGTTTTTTCAAATATGATATTTCATTGTCCAGTAGTGTATCACTAGCCCCATCGATGTCTCATCAAATCATGCAAATCCCCTTAAACCTTTCTCTTTGAAAATGCTAACGTAGATTTGATCATTTCAACGATCTCTGATGGTCCACAGCTTCCACAGCTTCCACATCAACTTGTTCAGCTCTAGATTTTCTCGAATTTTTAAATACATTTCTTTATTGATGGATGTGAGAATGAGACTTATTCTGCTGACGATTCGATCCAGATATTTCAACTTAACTCTTCAATTTCAATGCTTCAATTCAAGTTCAAATTCAAGCCAATATTTCACTAATTTTTAGTGAAATATTGGCTTGAATTTGAAGTTTCTTATTCAAATTAGAATCAAAACAAGTTTCTTATTCAAATTAGAATCAAAAACAACATCCGTATTTGTTGTTTAACCTATCGCAAATCCGATTTTCCAATCATTTCCCCTAATTCAATATTTAACTGTTATGCAGCTCTTCATTTTTCACTTTCTTTTGTTTATTTACTTTATCAAAATTTTCTTGCACGTACCGAATTCCATTCATACTTCAAATTCATCACAAACTTCACTCCTCTTCACTTCACAGTCATTCTCTTCTTTCCATAACTAGAATCAAATCGTTGACTCATTGAATTGAATGAGGGATTGGTCGTCTTTTCAGCTCTCTTCAAGTTCTTCTCAAGACTCAGAGTCAGTCCTGTCCACACTAAAGGCTTATCAGTAGGCTTACCAGCAAAAATCGATTCTGATTTCCCTCGAAAATCCAATTATCTTTTGAATCGTTTGTTTATTTTCTTCTAAAAGTTCTTTACATACTTTGTTCTCTTTTAAACAATCACTTCAGCTAAAAAAGAAGAAAAAAAATCCAGTACATCAGATAATCTGCGTTTAGAAGGTCAAAAAATACGAGGGGAAATTAGTGCACATAAGACTCAGTGGGATCAGAAAGGTTTTGTTTGATAAAGCATAAAAGTACGTAAAAGTTTCGAATGGTCAATTGATCTGGGTTACAAGTTTAAGAGTTCAATCTTTCAATTTAAACCAAATCAGACACACTTTTCCCAGAGTTGTGCAACAATTCCCGATTCTCTAGACTGATCTTCTTGTCAAAAATTCTGAAAAACAATGAGAGTAGATGAATAATTGGATGTTTTAATCAAATGATGTTTGAATCAAGCATCATCATCATCTACATCATGATGTTTGAATCAAGCAAACCGTTTTTTCAGAAAACACATTACCAAAAAACGATCGCTTATAACTTGCCAACCAAATAAATGCTACAATGACAAATTGCCACTATTTTTAAATGGTCGTGTCCGTTTCCTTCCTATTTGCGTTACTATTTTGCAATTATTCGCGTCGCATTTTTTCGCCCTTTTCTCCCTTCCCGAAATTGTTTTTTTTTGCTTTCTTTCTGGGGGAACTTGGTTGTTTCTTTTGATGAAAATGCTGTTTTTGTAATGGGTATTGTTGCATTTTCGTTTTGTACTAATAAACAGTAAAATTATAAATTCAACTTACTTTCTGCTACCCTTCAGGTTTTAAATCCTGTTTAGATAACTGGTTTAACATTGTAGAGAGAGAGCTTACGAACATTTGTGTCACCACCGACGAGTATTAATCTTGTGTTGGATGCTGCGCGTTCTTGTTATGTTGTAAGCGCTTTGGGGAAACCCATTTAACCTTCTTTGAGCAATTCGGCTATTCTGAAGCAAAATCATCCTCGATGATAAGGTTAAAGCGGGTCGCACCCCAAACTAAATGCTACTATGTTTCAAATCTACATGATGTTTTAATCAAATCTTTTTAATCATCAAATCAAATCAAATCAAATCTCTTCAACTTTTTCCTATTATCATTTTCTGCAACATTCAAAATTTCGAAATTCTCTTTTTTCTGGATTTTCTGTATTCAATTACTCTCTTTTCTCAATATTTTATAATCTTTATGCTTTTATTGATCAGATTTCCCCCTTTGTTCTTCCTTTTTCTTTGATAAAACCTTTTGCAGTCCTTCCCAGAATGTTCTCATCAATGGGTTTCCCCTCAAAAAGTACAAAATCGACGTGTCTCTTATTACTATTAACTTCTCTACTGAATACAGCAAGAAGTTTGGAAATTGTTCTTGATGGAGGTTTAGTTAAATCTTTGATCTTATTCTTCCAATTCTTCCTTCAGACGATCCACCAAACCCATTGGTTCTCGTTGGATCCGGCGAGAAAATCACGTTGAAAGGGAAAAATTGTGAATATTTCTTAGCCTCTGCCGGAATCCAGAAATTGCCAAATTTCAAGACAGCCTACAATTTAAAAAACAGGTTTGTTAAAGAAATTTAAGTGAAATTTAACGAAAACTAAAGTTCAATTGTTCAAAATTGCAATTTTAGTAATATCTTGAAAAGAAAATGAAAAGAAAATGAAAAGAAAATGAAAAATTCACAAACTTATAAGAAAATAAGGAAAAATTCACATTCACAATTGTTCTCATTGTTTTTAAATGCCTAAAAACCCTATCAAATTACAATTTTAAAATGAAAAGAAAAAAAGAAACGCTAAAAAACGACTTTTAAAGCCTAAACCCTAGCTTTAAATGAAAAATTAGAAGAAATAGGAAAAGAAAATAAGGAAAAAATAAGGAAAAATAAGGAAAATTCACAAACTTATAAGAAAATAAAGAAAAATTGACATTCACAATTGTTCTTATTGTTTTTAAATGCTTTAAAAACCCTATCAAATCACAATTTGATTTGCAGTGATGACTGGACAACGCTCACATTCACCGCTGATGAGGAAACTTATGGGCAATATGTTTGTTGTAAAGTAAGTATGTTCAAATGCTTCGAATTCATTTTTTAGACTCGACCTTTTACTAATTCTCTTTTCTTTTCAGATCACAAAGCTGACGGTAAGCATAAGAGATTTCCATTTTTTTTTTCTTTTTGCTTCTTTTTTATAACGCTTGCTTACTTTAACAAATGAAATATTTGTGCTTAATGTCTTTGTCGGAAAAATGGGTTTAAAATGTTGTGTTAGCGCTGGAGAAAGGGAAATTTTCTTTCTTAAAAGAGATTTTTTTTTCAGTTGAAGTCGCATGTGTGCAATAGTCGCTTGATAGAGCCGGCTGGGACGAATATTTTGAAAGAAAATGAAAGGTTTGTATAATAGGGACAATTTTATAAAGATAAGCTGAAAAACGCTTAATGGTGGGTTTATCTGGCTGGATGCTGCCGTTTTTGGGTAATGTGTTTTCTGAAAAAACGGCTTATCCAATCAAAAAACGGTTTGCTTCATTCAAAAGCTTTATCCTTAATCTACAAAATGGCTTTTTTGAATTTTTGAAAAATCTTTTATTTTAGAACTTTTTCAGGCATTTTAATGTAAGAGTTGAAAATCCTGATTTCTAGCATTCATCAGCTAATATATTTTTGAGTGATTGCATACTTTTAAAAATAAAACGCTTCATCGATTACATAGTTTCCCAAAATTTCAGAACAATCCAATCTTCGGAAGGTTGATTTTGATTTTGCTAATTTAATCCATTTTCGTTTGAATTTAAGCAAGATTAAAAACAAAAGATTAAAAGAAAGGGAATGGTTCGATCGATTGGATTCTTCTGAGTTCGATCGATTGGATTGTTCTGAGTTCGATCGATTGGATTGTTCTGAGTTCGATCGATTGGATTGTTCTGAGTTCTATCGATTGGATTCTTCTGAGTTCTATCGATTGGATTCTTCTGAGTTCTATCGATTGGATTCTTCTGAGTTCTATCGATTGGATTTTTCTGAGTTCGATCGATTGGATTCTTCTGAGTTCGATCGATTGGATTTTTCTGAAATTTTGGGAAACTATGTAATCGATGAAGGATTTTATTTTAAAAAGTATGCAATCACTCAAAAATATAATAGCTTTTGAATGAAGCAAATCGTTTTTTGATTGGATAAGCCGAATGCTAGAAATCAGGATTTTCAACTCTTACATTAAAATGCCTGAAAAAGTTCTAAAATAAAAGATTTTTCAAAAATTCAAAAAAGCCATTTTGTAGATTAAGGATAAAGCTTTTGAATGAAGCAAACCGTTTTTTGATTGGATAAGCCGTTTTTTCAGAAAACACATTACTCAAAAACGATCGTTTATAAATTGCCAACTAAATAAATGCTACAATGACAAATTGCTACTATTTTTAAATGCTACTATTTCATATTCTAAGGTTCTCTAAAGAAGTTTTAGCTTTATTGGTCAAAAGAAAATGCTGAGAAAATCCTTGTAGAGACAGAGACAGTTTGCTCTTTTGATTGATCTTTTATATATAGTAAATTGATCTAAAGGATTCAATAATATTTACTAATATTCTTTTTCCAGATTATGTACAGAAGAAGAGAATGCATGTGCACCGACACATTCAAGAAGTTGCATCATTGATGCTTTTGAAAACAGGAAATGCCAGTAAGCTTTGAAAAAAAAAAGGGAAAAACTGTATTTTTACTTACGAAATACGAATAGAGCATTTAAATATATGTTATGTTCGATTTAGATTTTCATTTGATTTAGGTTGAGTCTAAATCGAACATCCGATTCAATCTAAAACAGACGTCCGATTTAGACTCAATCTAGTCCGATCTAGATTGAGTGTAAATCGGATGAAAATCTAAATCGGCGACCCGGTAATCGCGCATGTTCTGGCACATTTTCGATAATCCTTGTGTCGGAGTGGGCGTCGGCGAATCGAATTTATCGAAAATCTGAAAGATTTTGAATATTTTTCATGGCTATTCCCGGATAGCTAGCTTTCGATTCCGGATAGCTAGCTAGCTTTCGATTCCGACTCCATATGGATAGGCTAGCTTCAATAGGTTAAAAGATCTTGATCATTTTCTGAAAACATATATAATAATTTAAAAAGAGATTTCTTTTCTATTCTAGATGTGTTCGTGGCTGGTCGGGTGCTTTATGTGATACACCGATCACTGAATTGAATCGCTTCCCGTTCGAATCCTCCTCGATTGGTAGGCACTTCGGTAGGCCATATGCCATGAAAATTGATCCACGATTCGTGATAGCTTTAAACCAAAAAGGCTTGAGAACTAGATACGATTACAAGCTACAAAAATGATGAACTGTCACACTACAAACGCTTCTAACTTGCTTCAAATCTGACAGATTCACATGATCTATAGCTCAAAAAATAAAGCATCTCGAAGAGCTTTTGAATGGATTGAAGCACACTTGAAAATGCTAACGAAAAGGACCATACTGACGCGTAGTCGAATCGAAACTTTCTTTAGGATTGATATTTTTGAGTGTGCTTCAATCCATTCGAAAGCTCTCGAGATTCTCTATTTTTTGAGCTATAGATTGTGTGAATCCGACAGCTTTAAAGCAAGTTAGAAGAGTTTTTAGTGTCTATGTCTATTGAGAACCTTATTTTTGTTATGTTAACCCTCTAGAAGCCTAAAACTATCGTAGAAAAGCTTATTGTGATCAGTAGCTTTTTCAAAGAGCCAAAAAGTGTCTGAGCTTCTTAACATTTTGTAGAAAGAATGGTCTAAAACTGTCCCCTTCTTTCAATAATATTTTTTTATTATTTATAATATTTCCATTCTATCAATTAACTGTTCTTTTTTATGTCGTTGTTTAGTAGTAGCGATTCTGCTTCTTCTAACAATCGCTTCTGTGGTCTGCGTTTTGGTCAGAATATACAGGGAAAAACAAAAGGTAGATTCAATTAAACTAATAAATTTTCGATTTAAAAATACCCTATTTTCTCTAATAGTAGTGCAACCCTGAGCGTTGCCTAATTTGCTTGAAATCTCGAGAATCGCTTATCAGAACCTATCGATTTGGGATGAGGAAATGTAGCTGACGATGAGATCTTGTAGGGGATTTGAGTGTTGAGCTTCTGGGAAAGCTTAGAAACTGTAAAATAGTCATCAACTCAGCTCGGCGGGGTGCTCTACTATTAGAGAACTTTTACTTTCTAGATTACAATAGTTTTAGCTGAATCCAGTGATCGCCGAATCCCGTATTCGGCTTATGGATTGTGCTTTTGTATTGTTTATACTGCCTTATTTTCTCTAATAGTAGTGCAACCCTGAGCGTTGTCTAAATTCCTCGAAATCTCGAGAACCGCTTATCAGAACCTATCGATATGGGATCGGAAAATGTAGCTAACGATGAGATCTTGTGCGGGATTTGAGTGTTGAGCTTCTGGGGAAACTTAGAAACTGCAAAATAGTCATCAACTTGGCTCGGCACTACTATTAGAGAGAAAGAGAATAGAGCAAGCAGCTTTGGCAGATTACGGTAACATGTTCGAAATCTCGACAATCACTTATCAGAACCTATCGATGTGGGATCGGAAAATGTAGCTGACGATGAGATCTTGACGATGATTAGAGTCTTGAGCTTCTGGGAAAACCTAGAAACTGCAAAATAGTCATCAACTCAGCTCATCGAGGTGCACTACTATTAGAGAAAAAACGGTAGTTTTCCTTTGAATTCATTTCATTCCAGAAGGAGTACGATCAAGTGGAATTGGAAGAGGGAAACGGCGTGTGATTCGAAAGATTCATCGTGGACAACAATGGCATCAATCTCATCAATTTCTCTCACTTTTCATTCAAAATTCTCTTTGTTTAGGTGATCGATGTGTGAAATTGTTTACTCCATTTATTTCATTTCCATATTAATATTGATTTTTTTTGTATTAATGTCAAATAGAGTTCACGAATTTTCCTATCGTAATCGTTTTCTTACTTTGTACTTTATTAGAGTTCATTTTTCATATTCAATTTTCTTATTTCAAAGCTACCGTAATCTTTACTCAATCAGAGTACAATTATGCTACTTTTCATGCGTTTTAAAATCAATTTGGGGTAAGCTAATTTCCGCAATAGGGTCATTTACGCAACTCGTCATAACTTTCTTCTAAGTCGGCCAATCTTTATGTTTTTGGTGTCATTTTGTAGATCTCAATAAGTGCAATAAAATGAAACCAACATCATAAAGATTGGCCCATTTAGAAGAAAGTTCTGGCAAGTTGCGCAAACGACCCAGTTGCGCAAATAAAATGGCCGAAATTTGGCGCCTACCCCATCAATTTCTTTAACAAAAACTTTTCTAAAGCTACAGTAATCCTGTCCGATAAATTGAATAGAAAATAGTGACAAGATTACGGTAGTTTTCGTCTTTAAACCTTGAAAATCTTTAGTAAACTATAGTAAGCTTAAAGGATTTAGTTTTTTTTGTTTAAGACTAAATCTCTTGAAAAAAAATCTCTCGAATGATTCCCCATTTCCATGAATTCCATCAAAAACGGGTTACCGTGCTTTATTTCTTTGATCAACTGAATATCTTTTAAATATTTTTCAAAAAAAATTTTGCATAATTTTTAGTTGTTTTTTTTTCTTTTGTTTTACTCTTCTTTTCACTTTTTTTTTTCTTTTTCTTTGAGAGTGAGACAAATGCGACCTTTGACATTTGCGACATTTGCGGACATTTGCGGACATTTGCGGACATTTGCACACCTTTTTTTCCGCACCTTTCCCATTAGCGCACCTTTTTTCGCTCTAAAAAGCTCTAAAAAGCTAATATTAACCAAATTTCTATTCCAAATGTTGTTCTTCTAGGCAATTTTAGGGCGTAGAATCGAAATTTTGACATATCAGAGGTTTTTGGAAATGGATCGAGTTATACATACCGTAATACCTGTAATAGTAGCGCCACCACCCGCCCCCCGCCATAATGACGGGGTATTGCCGCGTAGTCGAACTTTACACGCTCCGTTCTCCGCACTGCTTTATGCTACAATGTGCGCTTGGGTGTCAAATGATAGCCCTTGAAATTTAGTATTTTTAAAAAGCTAATATTAACCAATTTCTATTCCAAAAGTTGTTTTTTTTAGGTAATTTTAGGGCGTAGAATCGAAATTTTGATATATCAGAGCTTTTTGGAAACAAATGGACCGAGTTATACAAAGAGAAAAATCGACAATTTTCTGTAATTTGATTTGTCTTGTCTATTTTGTCTTTTAAATTGGTTCCAAACGCTCTGTTATGTCAAAATTTCGATTCTACGCCCTAAAATTACATAGAAAAACAACTTTTGGAATAGAAATTGGTTAATATTAGCTTTTTAGAGCTTTAAAACGCGAAAAAAGGTGCGCTAATGGGCAAGGTGCGGAAAAAAAGGTGCGCAAATGTCCGGGTGCGCAAACAAAAAGGTCGCATTTGTCCCATTCCCTTTTCTTTTTCTTTTTTTTTTTTTTTTTTCTCTATAACCGGTGCTATATCTAGCCTTTTTCTTTTTTTTTAAAAATCATTTTTAATCATTCAAATCACTATACCCTTTTTTTTAGTGTAATATAACTTTAGTCTTTTATAAGTTTTATTGATTATCACAAAATGAAACAGAAGAAAAAAAATGATATGCACATATTAAAGAGAATCACTCGTTTAAAAGAATTGAAAATGAAAAGAGAATGAAAAGAGAATGAAAAGAAAAAAAAAAGAAAAGAATCACTCGTTTAAAAGAATTGAAAATCAAAAGAAAATCACTCGTTTAAAAGAATTAAAAATCAAAAGAAAATGCTAATTTTTCAAAAAAGAGATCAAAAAACCTGCTATTTTGAATGAAATTATTGTAAAAATGAAAAAATTGAGTTTAAGAATTGGTAAAAATGGGTAAAGAATCAAATTTTGAAAAGTCGATCACTTTAAAATGCGATCTAGCTACAGTAGAAGATTGAGGGGCTATAGCTGTAGTTTACAATGTAATTTACAGTAATCAAAGCAAATTTTTATTGATTACTGAATATTACAATAAGATACAGTGGAAATTTGAGTTGTTTTAGCTGTAGTTTACCTTATAAATTACAGTAAAACATAGGGTTTCACTACCGTAGATTCCTCAATGAATGCTACAGAAGCTTGAGCTGCTATAGCTGTAGTTTATCTTGTAAACCACAGTAAACCAGAGAGTTCCGTTACCGTAACTTTCCCCTACAGAAGCTTGAGCTGCTATAGCTGTAGTTTATCTTGTAAACCACAGTAAACCAGAGAGTTCCGTTACCGTAACTTTCCCCTACAGAAGCTTGAGCTGCTATAGCTGTAGTTTATCTTGTAAACCACAGTAAACCAGAGAGTTCCGTTACCGTAACTTTCCCAATGAATGCTAAAGAAGCTTGAGTTGCTATAGCTATAGTTTACCTTGTAATTTACAGTAATCAAAGCAAATTTTTATTGATTACTGAATATTACAACAAGATACAGTAGAAATTTGAGTTGTTTTAGCTGTAGTTTATCTTGTAAACTACAGTAAACCAGAGAGTTCCGTTACCGTAACTTTCCCCTACAGAAGCTTGAGCTGCTATAGCTGTAGTTTACCTTATAAATTACAGTAAAACATAGAGTTTCACTACCGTAGATTCCCCAATGAATGCTACAGAAGCTTGAGTTGCTTTAGCTCTGGTTTACATTGTAATTTACAGTAACCAAAGCAAATTTTTGCTGATTACTGAATACTACAATAAGATACAGTAAAAATTTGAGTTGCTTTAGCTGTAGTTTATCTTGTAAACTACAGTAAATCATAGTTTCACTACCGTAACTTTCCCAATGAATGCTACAAAAGATTGAGTTGCTATAGCTGTAGTTTACATTGTAATTTACAGTAACCAAAGCAAATTTCTACTGATTACTGTAACCTCAACTAACTAGAAGATATTTTAATTTCTTTCTAAGATTTAAACTTGATCACCTACTACATCAAATCTTTATAATAACCCTAAAATCAATGAGAAATCTTGTAAAACTTTAAGTAGATGAGAAAGAGACTTGATACTCAAAGGAAATAGATTACGGTAACTGTCGATTAAACCTAGTTATTCTAAAGATTCAAAAATCCTTTCACGAACTCGTCGTCCCATTGATGAACTTCTCGGTCACTCCAGCATTCCCATCTCTTTCCTCTCCTTTCTCACTTCTCTCATTCCCATTCCCATCTTCATCTCCTTCAATATCAATCTCTTCATCTTCATCTCCTTTCTTCCCATCATTTCCTTGATTCTCTACTCTTTCTTCTTCAATTCCTTTCTTAATTCTCTCCGAAATTTCACTTGGAATCACCCAATCTTTCTGTCCAGAAGCAAGGAGTTGATTATGCTGAAAATAGGAGTCGGTTTGTCACACCGTCATGGCCGATTGGCACCGTCTCTTAATCAGGATATCAAGGGTTCGATCCCAGTCACATTTAAGGCTTATGGATTGTCCTTTTGTATTGTTTATACTACCGTATTTTCTCTAATAGTAGTGCACCATGAGCGTTGCCTAAATTCCTCGAAATCTCGAGAACCGCTTATCAGAATCTATCGCTGTGGGGTCGGAAAATGTAGCTGACGATGAGATCTTGTGGGGGATTTGAGTGTTGAGCTTCTAGGAAAACTTAGAAACTGTAGAATAGTCATCAACTGACTCGGCACTACTATTAGAGAGAAAGAGAATAGAGCAAGCAGCTTTGGCAGATTACGGTAACATGTTCGAAATCTCGAAAAGCACTTATCAGAACCTATCGATGTGGGATCGGAAAATGTAGCTGATGATGAGATCTTGACGATGATTAGAGTCTTGAGCTTCTGCAAAAGCTTGGAAACCGTAAAATAGTCACCAACTCGGCTCGCTGGGGTGCTGACGATGAGATCTTGTGGGGGATTTGAGTGTTGAGCTTCTAGGAAAACTTAGAAACCGTAAAATAGTCATCAACTCAACTCGGTGGGGTGCACTACTATTAGAGAAAATACGGTAATTATTATAGACAACTAACTGCAGCTTCACTTTGATTCAACTTACATATTCTTCATTCACGTGCATCATAATATAACCCATTCTCAGCTGAACGTCTGAATCGTTTAACACACAATCGGCAACAACGGACAACTCCTGGAATCAGTTTTATTTTTAAATATTAAGAGAAATTGATAGTTTGATAAACTCACTCTTGCAAATGTCTCTATTTCATCTTTTTCAAGGCTTCCACCAAGGAATTCGCTGACCATTTGAGTGGTGATCAATGGACCATCACCTCTCTAAAAAATGACAACTTAAAAGCTTTTTAAGTGATAAGTTTAAGTCAATCCCAACTCACCGCCACATTTATCTTTCCATCAAAAGCTTTTAAGTGATAAGTTTAAGTCAATCCCAACTCACCGCCACATTTATCTTTCCATATCTCAACTCGGGCATCAAAATCAACTGCGTAATCGCTATTTGTTGTAAAGTTTTCATTCCCAAATCGCGAAATCTTGTGTCCATTTTCATCAGCTCAACCATACGCAATAATAAATGTTTCTTCAACATATTGTGCTGTGTTAATTGTGGAGTTTGAAAGACACGCAATGGATCATTTGATGAGAGAGCAACGAATTTTTCCTAGAAATTTAATGATGAATTTTTGAACTAAAACAAATCTCCAACATTCTCATTATTTTTCCCGACAATCACTTGTCTCAATCGATCCAATTTGAATAAAAGTTCTTCTCTTTCTTCATCCATTTGTGAGACCTTCTTCAAGGTCATTAAACCCTAAAATTCAAAAAATTCCTTTAGATCTTTGTTTTTCTGATTGATTTTTCAATTAAACACTTAAATAATTTCATTTAAACGATTTTATTTAGTTTAAATGTTAGATTACTTTGATGAAAAGTAAAAGCTATAGTTATATACGGTAAATACTGTAATAGTACCCCGCCCCCATAATGACGGTGCGGAGCGTTGCGTAGTCTAGCTTTGAACGAGTTTTTCTCGACACTGGTTTATGCTACAATGCTCGCTTAGGTATCAAAAAATAGCTCTGAATTTCAGCTTTCATTTAATATTTAAACGAACACTGTAGCATAAACGGGTGGCGAGAAAAATGCATTTCAAGTTAGACTACGCGATGCTCCGACCGGCATTATCGGGGGGAGGGGCTACGATTAAAGGTATTACGATATGCTTTTCTTAGTTTAGCTTAACCTTTATCTACTATAATTCAATTTAGAACTATAATTTAAACATACCGTAAATACTGTAATAATGCCCCATCCCTATAATGACGGTGCGGAGTGTTGTGTAGTCTAGCTTTGAACGAGTTTTTCTCGACATTGGTTTATGCTACAGTGTTCGTTTGAATATCAAAAAATAGCTGAAATTCAGGGCTATTTTTTGATACCAAAGACGAATTTGTTGAAAGTACGGGCGCTTTGAAAAAAATGAAATACGAAAAAACTTTTGCGACTACGAGACTATACGAGGGCGGTGGGGTACTATTACAGTATTTACGGTAGGTATATAGCTGAATTTCAATTTACAATATTTACGGTAGCTATTTTATAAAGTTTCTATTCTTTTTAATTACAAAATAAAGCAGGGTTTTTCGAAAGATTTTGTAAACGAAATTTCTAATTTGAAAGTAATTAAATCAAGTAAAAATAAAGTTAAATAAATTGGAATTTTGAATTTAATCCACTAGAACTTCTTTGTTAAATGAATTCTATCAAAATGAAATAAATAGAAAAGCTGGGAGCCTGAGATTTATGAAATTCTCCTCTCAACCAATCACTCACCTTCCCGTCCTCTTGTGCCGCTTGTTGTCCAATATTAATCCATTCCATTTGCGTTGATTGTATCCTTTCCTCCATTTCTTTTCTTTTCATTTCCCATTCATTTCTTTCTTTTTCATTCTTTGCATTGTCTCGTCTAAATATTTGAGTAATGATTAATCAAATTTACATCAAATTTCCACGGCCGGGCCGACGGGGGCCCAAGGGGGGGGGGGGGGTCCACCTGGCAAAAAGTCCCTTCCCCACCAGGGGCCAACAGGGGAGAGGGGGGGGCCGATGTGTGTCCCCTTCCTGTTTCTATATTTTAAAATTACATCAAATTACACACTAGACATGGGAAAATTCCAACCGAAACCTAATTCCACCTTCGTTTTCTCAGCCGTCTCTTGGTCGATTCTTCTGAAATTTTGTTTACAAATAGAAATTAGCATTCTCTGTTTGTAAACAAAATTCCAGAACAATCGACCAAGAGACGGCTGAGAAAACGAAGGTGGAATTAGGTTTCGGTTGGAATTTTCCCAGGTCTATTACACACACAAATTTCCACAAGCTAAAGCTAAAATTGCCTTTATAGCAATAGCAATTGTTGAGCTTTTAAGCTTTGTTTATATAATAAATATTATATATCAAAATATTTCCATATTTCTCGTATAATTGATATTTTCGACCGACAGCCAAAGCCGTTAAAAAAGAGTGAAAAAGCGTCTCACGGCGTGCGCATTAAAACAGTGCTATTTCACTATTTTTCAATATTTCAAAGCGAAACCATATAGTTCTTGATTAGAGCTTCTCGAATCTTTTTACATTTTGAAATTATCTTAAAAAGTTGAAAAGTTATAGCTCGTCAAAAATTTGGTCCATGACGGCCTTCGTCCACGACCGAATCGTCCCAAACTTATTAAAATTCTTAATCCTATACATCTTTTTTTAAACAAAAGATATATAATCATTTTTCTCTTATAAATCTACAAGATAAAGTAAATTTTTCTTTAAAATCTAATCTTTATTCTTGAATTTAAGCGGATTAGAAATGAAAAATTGAAAACAAATTTTTTTTTTTGAAATAATCTAGTATTGTATTAAAGGATTAGTCAGAAATATAATCGGATTTGAATTTATCAATGAAATAAAAGATTATCCAGTCATCAGTCATAGCTTTTCATCTACTAAAACCTACTGTTGAGTACACTTTTGCAGTTCCAACATGAAACGCCGCTTCTCGCAAAGAATCAATTCTCTTTTGTGTTTTAAAGAGAAATAGGCTTTTCTTTCCTCCTCAACTTCCATCAAACAAGTGATTATCGTTTCGGAAAGCTTCTGAAATCGAATTTTTTTAATAAATCTGAATGAAAACCGATTTTTAGTCAACTTTTCCTTCAGAAATAGTTCAATACTTGAAACTGAATTCCTCATGAATCAGAATAGAAACTTTTTCTATTATCCAATCAGTTTTCAACTTTTAAGCCTCACCTCAGTCTCAGTTTTCTTGCCAACTGGATCTGATGGAATATTTGCTCCCTCAATTCTCCTCTTTTTCTCCGTTGGTTCTTCTGAAGTCGATGGCTCATCCGATAAGTTATTTTTCTGAAAGTTTTATCTATTATAAAGTCTATCTAGCTTCAAATTACCTGTAAAATTGTGCGAATTTGAGAAGTAGATGATGGAAGAGAAGAGATTAAAGATTGAGAAGTGGATGGGATGGGGATTGGGATGAGTTGAGGAGGAAGAGAGTCTAGAAATGCTAAATCAATTTTCTTAAGCCATTCTTATTGTTAAAAGCTGAATTTAAGGCTGTAAAAGTCTAAGCAGCAGATTTAGATTTAGTTCTTTCAATTCAATTTTCTCTACCTGGCGCAGTGGGCACTGGTGGTACAGGAGTGGCTGGAGTGAGCGATTTCGACGTTGTTGGAGAGGATCTTGGTGTTTCTGGTATACCCAAGTCGAAAATCACTTTGATTTGATCGGTAAAATACTAGAAAAGAAAAGCTTTTCATTAAGTTTTCTTCGATTACCTTAAACAAATCGACATTTGTCTGATCAGAGACAAATCGTACCCATAAATGATCGAACAAAATCTGACAGCCTGCATTGTATTGAGCTTTTGCTGTCTCAACGTCTTTCTCTTGAGCAGCTAAACGATAAGGTGATATTTAAATCTTCTTTATTATAAATAAATTACCAATAAATGCTAGTAGAGTAGCATTATAACTCCCAAAAGCCTGGCTGTCCTCGGATTTTCGATGTTCTTCAACATTTCGAAGAGCTTGTCTAAAAAAATTGAATATAATTTCGATAAAATCTTATAAATTATTATAATACTTTGATTCAATAAGCTTCTTTTTCCAGTTCCAAGCTGAACAAACGGCATGAACTGACTGGTGAGTGAATGGAGGTGGTGGAAGACCTGGCCAACCTAAAAAAAAACGTTTGATAAACTCTTTTCTCATTAGCTAACTTTACGCTCAAATTTCTCGGTCATAGTCTATCCAATTTAAATCTTTTTTATATTATTAGATTCGTCAAGTCTTTCTCTATCGATTGATACAAAAACTTATAGAAATTGAAAAGCCGAACACTAAGAAATTTGTGCTCAAAGTTGGATTGGTAGGGCGGGTCGAAGGTCCGATGACTCCGCCCCCTTTGCCATTGGTAATCAAACTTTGAGCTTAAATTTCTTTGTGTTGGGTTGTTCAATTTAGATTTTCTTGGTATCACTGGATGCACCAAGCCTTTCTCTATCGATTAATACAAAAACTATTTCAATTGAAAAGCCCAACACCAAGAAATTTGAGCTCAAAGTTAGATTGCGGTCTCAAAAGTTCTAGAATCGAAAAAGAATAGTTTTTATCAAGAATTTTGCTATAATGAAATGTTATCTATGATTTACAGTAAGAGTTTTTGAAATTCTCACCAGCTGGCTCTAAACTGATCCCCGGTTGTTTATCATACAATGTTCTCAACACTTCACAAAATCTCAATAATCCGTTCATTATTTGAAGTAAAGAATCGATTGCCTAAAATATTTTAATAAGAAAAAAACATTTATCTTTTACTTGTTTAGCATTAGCTTTTTGGTTTTGAAGGAGTTGTTGGTGTTGTTGGTGTTGGTGATGGAGTAAAAGAGCCTCATTGAGTTGATTTGGATGTGAAGTTGAACGGAGAGTGATCGATGATGAGGATGAGCCGGGGATTGAATCCTGGAATCATAATTATTCTTTAAGTTTACAAACTGATGCATAGTAATCACAGTACAAAGTACATTAGATAGTAAATAGTGCTTACACAACTCAATCCAGCCGCTCGCAGCGCTTGCATCTCGTGGAATTTCTTTTGTTCGGCAATTGCATCTGAAATTTGAATTTGAAACTGAATAAAGATTGAATTAGGATAATTTCAAACCCATTAAACCAACCAGTCAAAGCCATGGGCAATATCGGAGGTGCTGGAGCGGCGGATCCAATCCCAATCAATGATGGCAAGAATTTCTCCCGATCCATTGATGAAAGATGTGGCATAAGTGAGGCCTCCAATTTATCCCTTATCTGCATTTCCCTCCTCAACAACAAATCCCTCAACTCTTGATCTGAATTCTTCGCCTGTTGAGCCACCGGTTGAGGAATTGTTTGCGACAGTTTTCTCGGGATAACAGTTTGAAAAGGAGTTTGTCCATTAGGCATTAGATGAGCGAATTGATTCTTCAACAACATTTGCATATGATTTTGCAATGGGTTCTCTAGTTGAGGGATGATTGGAAGATTTCGGGGAAGAGGTTGCGGGAGGGATTTTTGTTGGATAGTTTCAAGATTCGGTGTGATCTGGGGGAAAGCTAGAGACGGGATGGAGAGTGAAAGAGATTGATCTCTAGCTGAAGTTGATTGAAGGATTTGATTGTAGAGGAGAGAAGCTGCAGGCAATTGATGGGAAAGGGGTGATGGATTGGGTAGCATTTGAATGGGGATTGAGGTGACGAGGGACGGGCGACGTGGATTCGTGGAAGAGGATGGTGGGGGTTGAGCCATGGTCCAGTCTGGAATCGAGAATCATTAAGAATTCCTCTTATTTCTTGAAAAGATCGATAACAAGGATTGATGCATAAAAAGACATGAGGTATTTCTTTCATTTGAAAGATGAAATTGTCAAGAGTGATCAAGAGGAAAGCTGGCTGTAAGGGTAAAGATTCAAGTGTAGGGTTGGTGGGTATGACTTGGCTATGACTCCAGAGATGTAAACATAAATGAGAGAGAGCGGTTTTTAGGGAATAGGTAAGTGAATATTGACTCTTGCAAAAACAATGAACTTTCACTTTCGATAAATTTCCGTTTTGGAATTTTACTTTACTAACTAATGAAAATCTATTACTTGAAGATCTGCGACACTTATGTTATACGAATTTCTACAAGAACAAGAACACAAGAACCTCTAGTGTTCAGCTAATATTGAGAATACTTAAGAGCAGCATTCCATCAGGAAGGATCAGTTCCACTATGGACATGTGCAAACTGGTTAAATTCCGTTCTGGAGATAAATCCTTGAAGACAAAGGCATTATTCATCAGCCCAGCTGGATAATAGCAAGCTGTCGAAATTTTACAAACCAACAAAAGACTTTCTTAGCAGAAGAGTTATCAGTTGATTATATAATAATATTCGAACATTGCACTTGGACTTAAACTGTATTTGGGACTTGGATTAACTTACTTTGGGACTTTGGGACTTGGACTTGGATTATTTGGGACACATGATTAAACGAACATCCGGAAATGACAGAAATCAGTGCCGCTCATCTTTCTCGATACGAGCGCAAATCTTTTTTACTCTGTTTTGTGACGTGAATGAAAATGTATTCTAACTGCCAACTTTCGGCGAAGGCGCCAATTGATTGCTGAGGGAAGAAAGCCTGACTTCAAAAGTTTATGCTCTCGATGCTCTGGGATTTGGAAGAGCTTATCTACTGGGAAGCTTTTGGATAGCAAGACAACACTCAACTTAATCAAATACTCGGAGCAACTTGAGAAGTCAGCGAAATCTTTGCCAGAGAAAAGACTCTAAAGAGAAGACTCATTCTTCAACATGATAATGCTAGACGGCAAATTTCGAAGATGACTCGTTCTATACTAAACTCAATTGGATGGGAGATGATGGCCCATCTATACAGCTCTGATCTTGCACCTTCTGATTACTACTGTTTCTGGGCGATGAGCAATGATTTGGCAAACACTTTGATTCCGAAGAGGAGGTCAAAAAATGGCTGACAGATTGGTTTGCGTCAAAAGCGAAGATTTTCTACGAGAGAGGCGTTCGACTTCTTCCAGTATAATGGAAAAATCATATAAAATAATGGCAAATATCTTGCAAAATTTCGCATACAGTTGGACACTAAACTCTCAGTTGAATGGGAGGTGATGCCTCCATCGATACAGCCCTGATCTTCCCCCTTCTGATTACTACTGATTCTGGGCGATGAGCAATGATTGTGATCCCGACACCGTGACAACAAACACCGTGATTTCAAAGAAGAGTTCAAAAAATGGCTCACAGATTGATTTCCGTCAAAAGGGAAGATTTTCAACGAAAGGGTTTATTAGTAAAATGGATAAAAATCGTATAAAATATCTAGAATGATTTGAAGTTGTTGCCTGAAGAGAAATATTATTATAAAAAGTGTCAAGTCATAGTCATCAACTAAATAAGAATTGCTAAGAATCTATTCATTAGTTCTAAATCAATTTCCCTATAATGGAAAGCCTATAAATATTCAATCAGAGATTGAAAACAGAAAGTTGCGAAAGTTGTAAATGAGGTAAAGCGGAAGTGAGGGAAATGAAGGTACCTGAGGGTTGAGATGATGGGAAATGAGGAGAAGAATTGGAAGATGTGGGGATGAGAAGAGAATGAGACGAGGAAAGGTGTGGGGTGGGGTGAGGGAGAGGCTGAGAGGGCCCCACTCCCCTATAGGCCGCACGTGACGCAACCGCAGTGTTGCCTTGTTGTGGTTGTGTCCCTTCACCGCTGCGCACCTAGAAAGAGGGAAGTGTTTTTTGATCTATGAGTTTTGCAGAATCCTTTTATATTTACCAGTTCATAGAAGAGTTTAAGGTTTGATGCTTCTCTTCATCTTTCCTTCTTTCTCTTCTTCTTTCCTTCTTTCTCTTAGCAAGGAAGATCCCAGATAGCTCAATGGTTGAGAAATTGAGCTCAATGGAAAGCAAGAGATCGAAGGTTCAATCCCCGACAACCTTTCTTCGTCATTCCTTACTTTACTTTATTATATTAGATGTTTACTCAACTTTAGCACCTTTTCCCCAGCGATTTCCAACTATAAATCGTTTTAAATTCATCAATTATAAGCTAAACCAGATCCAATCCAATATCAATAATGTTTACACCGATTTCTATCCATTTTCTACCCTTTTCCCCAGTGATTTCCAACTATAAACCAATGATTTATCCCTTTATCCTATAATAAGTCTTCCCCTCACTCAAATCCCCTTCTTTTTCTTTCAAAATTACCCCAGAATTTTCTCAAATCGTTTCTTCTCATTTCCTTTTTCCAGTTTCCTTGTTTTTTGATGTCTTAAACATTAGGAAATCATCAAAATACAAAATAAAATGATTTTGGGGATCGTTATTAAGAATGATTGTTGATTGAATGATTGAATGATTGAATTCACCTGTCTTAACGCTGAGGACATGGTTGTTCCAGTGCCTCTTGGTTGAACAACGGGAAGTGAAATCATTGGATGAGGGGTCGAAGGGGAATTCTGAAAGGAAATCGAATAAATTCAACAATTGCATTCAACAATTCTAACTATTCTTATAGAAAACCAGTATTTTTAGGCTATCAAAGTATTTTTAGGCTATCTCGACTTCTTTCTTTGCATGGTTAAAGCTGCAGTTTATCTACTTTTTGAATCTAAATCCTACAGATCAATTGTGAAAATAGATTACGGTATTAAAATATGCAGAATATACAATTTTATCAAAAACAAACCTGGCAAGACAGTGAATGAAACGCTTTATTGTTTTGGTGTTGCTGTTGCTGCTTTTGGAGTGAATTGAGAAGGATTTCTTGTGAAGAATGTGGGCGACGAATGAGATGAATTGGAGAAGGATGCGAATGGGATGGAGATGAGAGAACCACACTCGCACTACTCTAAAACATTTGAGATGAAAGTAATTCTTAGAAATAAATCATTTCCAAAGTTGATTCTTATTCATTGCATGAAAAAAAACCGAAAAAAACTTTCACATAAAAGTCGAAAGCCGAAAATTGACACTTTAAAGACTATTTGGAAAGATTTTGAATGAAATTCACAAATTCAAAAGTGATTAGTTTAAAGTTTTTGAATGTTTGATTTCAATTTTACCGTCCAGGATTGGCTTTTTGTTTTTGTTTTGATTCTTCTAGCTTTGAAAAAGGGTTCAATTCAAGGCAAACTATGATAAAATTTAGTTTTTAGTTTGGACACGAAAAAAATTTCATCTTACATCGAATACTATCTTTGTTTTCTTAATCTTGATCAATTTTTGAGTTTTGCCAGTTGGAAATATCGATTTGGAAAAGACTTTCGAGGAATTTATCAGAATTTGATGTAACTGAAGCTGGATTTTGATTGATATTTGAATTTTTTCATGGCTAGTATTCTTCTTCTAGCTTTGAAAAAGGACTTAATGATAAAAACTGATAAAGGGCAAACTAATTCTGATAAAAACAAAGATTAAGAAAGTTTTACGATTCTATTCGCAAATAATATTTTAGAAATCGAAAGAATTCGACTTTAAAATATTAAAATATCAGAATTTATCAGAAACTCATGTAAATAAAGCTGGATTTTCATTGATATTTGAATTTTTTTCATGTAAAGGATTCAATTCAAGGCAAACTATGAGAAAAACAAAAAGAGTAGGGAAGTTTGACAATTCTATTCGCAAATAATATTTTAAAAATTGAAAGAATTCAACTTTAAAATATTAAAATACTAATTTAAACAATAACCATCAAAGATTCAACAAAATTTATGCAAAAAAAGTGTAAAAAAAATAGTATTCTGAAGATTTCCCGGTTAGAATCTAATCATATACAAAGAAAAAAAATGAAATATTAATAGAAATCAACAAAAATCGATCGATTCGTAGATTTGATCGTTGATTTTGGAGGAAAATAGAAAAGAAATAGTTGATTACAGGGAATTCGAGGCTTTTTTGAAGGCTGCAAAAGGATAATTTTGCATTTAAAAAGATAAAGATCTCTTTGTAAATGCAAAATTGTCCTTTTGCAGCCTTTAGAAAAGCCTCGAATTCCCTGTAATCAACTATTTCTTTTCTATTTTCTAAAGAATTTCAAAATCTTTTAAAAAGATCAGTGAAAAATGGAAAGATTGACGATGAAATGAAAGAAAGAGAACCTCTTTTACAACGGATTGCGTCATTTAAATTGAAAGAATATCACACAAAACGCAAAGAAACGTTTCTATTCCCTGGCTATACTAAACTAAAATCATTCAAGACACTGTAAAAGATCAATGAAAAATGGAAAGATTGACGATGAAATGAAATGATTTGGCATAGAATTTCTTTTTTCTTTTTATTCAATGTCTGCCTGGTCAAATTTCGGTTTCTCACGGGGAAAAAGAGGAAAAAAATGTGACAGACAGATTGAAAAGAGAAAAGAATCGAAAAGGAGAAAGAGAACTTGACTCACCACCATAGAAACGACCACCAAACTAGGGATGAGCATTAAGCATATGAAAGAAGATCGACGACAGAACACAAAGAACACGTCACAACACGTGCTAACGGGTTCCTGGAAACTATATCTAAAACTTAAGCCAACAAACTTTTGTAACTCAAACTTTAGCCTTGAACTTTAGATAGAAAAGAATCGATAAATTGAATGAAAGAGAACTTTGATCTCACTAACCACTTCATAATCTTCATTTAGAAACGATTTCCAATCAATTTCTAGGGATTTTGAGTTCATTTAAGCATATTGAAAGAATATTTCGACGACTAGAACGCAAAGAAAACGTTTTCTATTCAATTTCTACTGTGAAATCTATATCTAAAGCTTTAAAAATCATTCAAATCATTAACTATTTTGTAAAACCTTTCTAAAATAAGCTATTCCGTTTTAAGAGAATTGAAAATTCGATTTCAAAACAAAATTGGTAAAACCGATTACAATTTTTGACTGAAAATGTGATTAAAATAAAATTATTTGACAAAAAGAAGAACAATTTCAATTGCACAAATGATTTGAAATGATTCTTGATTAATCTTTTTTTTAAAAATGAATTAAATCAAAACTCTTAGCTGATTGAAAACGACTAGAACGCAAAGAACACGTTTTCTTTTCAATTTCTACTGTGCTAGCGGGATTTTCTCTGTGAAATCTATATCTAAAACTTTAAAAATCATTCAAATCATTAACTATTTTGTAAAGCCTTTCTAAAATAAGCTATTCGGTTATAAGAGAATTGAAAATTCGATTTCAAAACAAAAAAACAATGAAAAAATGTGATTAGAATGAAATTTTGACAAAAAGAAGAAGAATATCAATTGCACAAAATGATTTGAAATAATTCTTGATTAATCTTTTTTTAAAAAATGAATTAAATCAAATCGCTTAGCTGATTGAAAACGACTAGAACGCTGAAAACGCTTAGATTGAAAATTAAAAAAATGATTCCTCTCAAAGATCAATGAAATTTGATAAAGAAATGAAAAAAAAAAGTAGAGTTATTTTGAGTAAAAAAAAAAACTAACAAAATAGAGAATTCTTTTTCCTTTTCAACTCTTCAAATATTTGGAAATGAATGAGAAAAAGAGAAATGGTAAATAAAAAGTTCTCTCTTCAGCTTTGAAGCTTTGAAAATCAATTCTTTTGACCTTTTTGAATGAAAAGTTCAGAAAAGTTTGAGTGATGATCATTCAAAAGAAAAAAAAAAGTTAATTTCTTTGGTTGAGAACGTTTAGCGTCGTTTCAGTAGGAGGGCGTATGCCCGTTGTTTCCCATCGAAAGAAATTCCTTGCTATTCTGATCGACTTGCTCTTTTTGACCTTAAACCCTTATCCCATCGCCGCATTTATTTTGATTTGGTCTTATGCTATAAAATCATCTTCTCTCCTAACTCTCATCCGGAACTTAAAGGACTCTTTAAGATTTCGAATCACGCCAGAAGAACTCGTAGTCACAACTTTCAGATTACCCCCTTTCAAAGCTTTCATAACCGCCAACTGTATCATTCTTTTGCTTGTCGTGTTCCTCGTATTTGGAATTAGTTACCTTGTGATATTTTTTCGTCTCTGAACTATTTTAAATCCTCAATATATAAGCTCGATCTTGTAGCTCTGTCAATTTTAAATTAGTTTTTAATGTCATATATATACACGTGTCTAATTGTAGTTGTGTTTGTATATCAATTATCTTTCTTCGTCTACGCTGTTCAATCTGTTTGCATTGTCACTTTTCCTTGTCGGATAAAGTATATATATATATATAAATAAAAAGTTCTCTCTTCAGCTTTGAAGCTTTGAAAATCAATTCTTTTGACCTTTTTGATAAGTTCAGAAAAGTTTGAGTGATGATCACTCAAAAGAAAAGAAAAGAAATTTTAGAATCAAAAAATGATTAATGAAAACCTTTTTCTTATCTTTAAATCTTTGAAAAATCAATCAAAACTAGGTTTTTTTGATTGTTTAATGAGGTGCTTTAGCTAAAAATGATTGTTTTGGCAAAGATTTCTTGGCTAATATGAAAAATGATTGTTTAATGAGGTTTTTTTATCGTAAAACTATTGAATTTTGGTTGAGAAAAAGGGAGTTTTTAATGGTTTGATTAGATCTTTTAAAGTCTTTTTTTCTTTTTAATAAAGATTCCGAAAAATTTTGTAAATTTCTGAAATTTTTAGGAAAGATTTGCTTTTTGGCTTTTTTAATAAAACTGAATTGGGTCTCTTTTCTCTCAGAGTTTACACTTAACCCCCTTCTTGAGCAGGGTCTGGAAGGTGTCTCGTGGTGTAATGGTTAGCACAGTTGCCTCGTAAGCGAAACGTCGAGGGTTCGACTCCCGTCCGAGCACAAATTTTTGATCCGGCTTTTTTAATAAAACTAAATTGGGTCTCTTTTCTCTCAGACTTTAGCCTTAACCCCCTTCTTGAGCGTGGTCGGCGAAGTGCCTCGTGGTGTAATGGTTAGCACAGTTGCCTGGTAAGCGAAACGTCGAGGGTTCGACTCCCGGCCGAGCACAAACTTTTGATCCGCCCTTATTCCAACTTTGCGGTTAAATCAAGCTCTTTTTTCTTTCGAAAGCTTTGAAATCTGTTCTTTAAAAGTAATTAAGATTAGTAATAAAACAGGGTTCTAAACGTGGAAAGGCTTGACTTTTAGTAAAGCTTCATTTGCACACAAAAACCCGGTGATTTATCTGATTTTCACGGAAAAAGTCACAAAAAAGTCTAAAAATAAAGAAATTTCAAACCAAATCATTTCCTAATCTGTTTATTTCACATAAAAAAACTAAAAAAACCCGTGTTTTAATCATTTTTTTGCTAATTAGATTGAAAATTTGAAAGAAAACCAAATATTTACTAGTATTTGAAAGATTTTTAGCTTAAAATAATCGAAATTTAATGGGAAATTTTGAAAAAAAAAAACAAATTTCACAACTAACTTTAAAATCAAAAGCAAAAAAAGCTAAAAAAGCAAAAAAAAAAGCTAAAAAAAAACTCTATTATGACTCAATTTTTCTGAAAAAGAAAATTTTTTCGGTTATTTTTAGTAAAAATTCTTTAGAATCTCTTATCTTTTTTGGGAATGGAAATAAAAGAAAAAAAAAAGATAAGAAGAAAGAAAATAAAATGGAAAACTGTCTGGGAGGGATCAAATAAAAGAATTTTCTCTGATGAAATCAGAAAATGATTTGAAAAAACTGTGTTTAAGGTGTTTTTACCATTGATAGACAGTAAAAAACACAAGAATTTTCGCATTTGAAATTGTTGTTTCCGGCATCTTAGCGGTCTCCTTGCGCTAAGATGCCGCCATAAGCACATTTTCACAATAGACTTTAGTCACTTATAACTCTTGACAGATTGTCATTTAGCGAAAGCAGAATATATATTCAGAATCAGCATAAAATTGCGCGTTTAATGGTATAGGTTGGCCGGCTCAGCCAGTTACAGGTCATGCAGTTGGCCGCTATGCAGTTGGCCGCTATGCAGTTGACCGCTATGCAGTTGACCGCAGGGCCGCAGCAGTTGCCGCATGCAGTTGACCGCAGCAGTTGACCGCTATGCAGTTGACCGCTATGCAGTGCCGCGCAGTTGACGCAGCAGTTGACCGCTAGCAGTGACCGCATGGGCCGATGCGTGCCGCTAGCAGTTGACCGCGGTTGACCGCTATGCAGGCCGCATGCAGTGCGGGCCGTGCGTTGACCGCTATGCAGTTGACCGCTATGCAGTTGACCGCTATGCAGTTGACCGCTATGCAGTTGACCGCTATGCAGTTGACCGCTATGCAGTTGACCGCTATGCAGTTGACCGCTATGCAGTTGACCGCTCAGACGGCTCAGCCATACAGTTGACCATACAGAAAATTCTTTTCTTTTATCCATCCAACACATTTTACATTTCATTTTTGACAATCTTTTAATTGAAATTGAATTTAAACAATCAAGATTCATTGATTTTATCATTTGAGATGAAATCGAGAGATTCAGAGGATCTCATGAGGAAATGTCAATCAGTCAAGGTGAGATCGAATCTCAAGAGACACGGGAATCTCTAGAAAGTCTCTAGAAAATCCTCGTACTTTGTGCTCACACCAATGAACACTTTCTAGCATACTCCTGATCCGGATTCTACGGTCACGTTTATGAGGTTCTTTAGAATCACGTTTAAAAGGTCACGTTTATGAGAGCACAAAATATGTAACCAAAGTGTAATCAATTCACTCTTTCCCCAAAGAGCAATCAAACAAAGCTTCGTTTCAATGTAAACCTATGGCTTTACATAGAAAACGATTGCGCACAAAGAACGATCAGCACTAAAAAAGCCCTAACCGGGGTCGAACTCGTGAGGAAACGCTTTGGAAATGAGCGCTCTACCACTCGGCTACGACTGCAACGAGCTCGGACCGCAAGGAGACCGCTAAGATGCCGCCAAGGCCCAAATAAGCACATTTTCACAATAAACTTTAGTCACTTATAACTCTTGACAGATTGTCATTTAGCAAAAACGGAATGTATATTCAGAATCAGCATAAAATTGTGCGTTTACTGGTATAGGTTGGCCGGCTCAGCCAGTTGACCATCTCTTGTAAATTAAGAATTAAATTTCTCTCAAAAAAATTTCTCAAATCTCACCTTTTTCTGTATTTGTTGAATTCTTTGTAATGGCGGCGATGGACATAATTGAATGGACGATCGTCCAACGTGATTCGTTGATGCACGAAAACCCGATGAAGAGGATTGAGATTGGGGAAATGTTGATGAAGAAGAGGAAGATGGGGGATCACCCGTTTTGGTTGTTTGCTGTGATGGAAAACAACCATTTGACATACCTAAAATGAAATGAAATGAAATTGAATAGAAAGAGAATGAAATATTTACGATCATATGTTTTCAAATCACCGCTTGACCGGAAGAATGGACGCTATTTTTGGGGATAAAATTTCATTCCCAATTTCCCCTTTCGAAAAGAGATTTGAGCCATTCATTTGAAACATATTATTCAGTGAATA